CAGTAACATCTCAGCTCAGCGCATCTTACCACACTTCATTGTATTACCACACAGGTAAGAACTGCACCCTTAGACGCTCTACTAACCCAGGGGCGAGAGAGGGTTTCATAAGCTGGTAGAAGTTCCTTAGGGTGTCCTGACTGACGTTGTTGCCCGTGTACTTGGAAGAGCGCGAAAGGTAGATGTTTACAGCGCGCTAAGGGGTGGCTATATTGACCTGGAAGGGCCATGCTGTCATGGCAGGGCTATACTGACCTGGGGGCGAAAGAGGGCTTCATAAGCTGGTAGAAGTTCCTTGAGCGTGTCTTAAATGACGTTGTTGCCCGTGTACTTGGAAGAACGCGAGTGGGGTATCTGTATTGACATGTGAGAGCTATACTAATCTGGAAGGTAGGGCTATACTCCTGACGGCTATACTGACCTGGGAGCAAGGGACGGCTTCATGAGCTGGTAGAAGTTGCGCAGAGTGTCTTGGATGACGTTGTTGCCTGTGTACTTGGAGGAGCGCGAGAGGTAGATGACGACTGCGATGAGCGGCAGCAGGATGCCCACGCCCACCAGGCCCAGGAGGAGGTACGCTCCCTGCACGGCCAGTGGGGGGAGACGAGGGGTGGGAAGGCGAGTTGGGGGAGTGGAAAGGTGCGATATGATCGAAGCTGAGGCAGAGAGGTAGATGACGACTGCGATGAGCGGCAGCAGAATGCCCACCCCCACCAGCCCGAGAAGAAGATACGCTCCCTGCACGGCCAGAGGGAGAGGTGGGGAGGCACGTTGGGGGAGTGGAAAGGTGTTTTTTTATCATTGAACCTGGGTAGAATGATCACCATATTCATACGGCCCACCTTCTAAGCCCCACCTCCTATTGCCCACCTAGGGTCCCTGAATGTCCAGCATGAACTTGGGCAGAGGGATTCCCACGTTCATTGCCTGCTGCCCGTCCGGATGTCCGTACTTCTCCCAACCACCTTGAGCAGCTTCAGAATTTCCCACCTTCTAAGCCCCACCTTGGGTTCAAGCCCCACCTCCCATGCCCCCCCTAGGGTCCCTGAACGTCGAGCATGAACTTGGGCAGAGGGATTCCCACGTTCATTGCCTGCTGCCCGTCCGGATGTCCGTACTTCTCCCAACCACCTTGAGCAGCTTCAGAATTTCCCGCCTTCTAAGCCCCACCTTGGGTTCAAGCCCCACCTCCCATGCCCCCCCTAGGGTCCCTGAACGTCGAGCATGAACTTGGGCAGAGGGATCCCCACGTTCATTGCCTGCTGCCCGTCGGGGTGGCCGTACTTCTCCCAATCAACACACCTTGAGCAGCTTAATAACCCGCACTGTTTCTAAGCCCCACCTTGCTTTAGAGCCCCACCTTGGGTCCCTGGATGTCGAGCATGAACTTGGGCAGAGGGATCCCCACGTTCATCGCCTGCTGCCCGCAAACAACCCTACCCATTACAGCTCGCCCTACCTCCAGCAGCGAGGTAATGCCCATCTCCTATCCCAACCCACCTTGGGTCCCTGGATGTCGAGCATGAACTTGGGCAGAGGGATCCCCACGTTCATGGCCTGCTGCCCGTCGGGGTGGCCGTACTTCTCCCAGTTGGCCCTCGCCACCTCGTCCGTGAGTGCCTGGTACGGCGCAGCTTGTGAGAGCGCTACGTGCAGCCCAGCCTGGGAACACCCACCTGCTGCTGCTCATGGGAGCGCCACCCATCTGCTTCTGAAAGCCCCATCCCAACCCACCTTGGGTCCCTGGATGTCGAGCATGAACTTGGGCAGCGCGATGCCCACGTTCATGGCCTGCTGCCCGTCGGGGTGGCCGTACTTCTCCCAGTTGGCCCTCGCCACCTCGTCCGTCAGCGCCTGGTACGCCTTGGAGATGTAATCCACGAAGAACTTGTGGGCGGCTGGTATGTGGTGCATGCAGAGGGAGGAGGAGGGGAAGGAGATGAGTGAGAGATGAGGCCCTCGCCACCTCGTCCGTGAGCGCCTGGTACGCCTTGGAGATGTAATCCACGAAGAACTTGTGGGCGGCTGGCAGGTGGACGAAAGGGAAGGAGGGCACAGAGACGAGGGAGAGATGAACCAGACATCCGCTCGCCACCTCGTCCGTCAGCGCCTGGTATGCCTTGGATATGTAATCCACGAAGAACTTGTGGGCGGCTGGCAGGACAAATCAGAAAGGCAAGGGAACAAGGGAGAGATGAGAAAAGTCAAACTCGCCGCCTCAACTGAGTGTGAGCGCCTGGTGCGCACGCACGCCTTGAATCTGTGATGTGATCCACACACAACTTGTGGGCGGCTGGCAGTACACACATGAGACAGGACGGAAGCGAAGAAAGAGAGACAGGGGAGAGATGAAGGAAGGGATACGATCGCCCCTCGCCACCTCTAATCAGAGTTGAGGAAGTCAGAGATTAGCGGACGAGTTTGCCTGGGTTGGGAATCTTGTCCGGGCGACACTGCAGGGAGAGCTTGCAGTACGGCGTTTACCTGGGTAGGGTTACTTGCAGATGGGCACGTACCTGGGCATTTACCTGGGTCGGGGTTCACCAGGGTCGGGGTTCACCAGGGTCGGGGTTCACCAGGGTCGGGGTTCACCTGGGTTGGGGTTTAATTGGGTCGGGGTTCACCTGGGTCGGGGTTCACCTGGGTCGGGGTTCTTGTCAGGGTGATACTGCAGGGAGAGCTTGCGGTAGGCCTTCTTGATGTCCGCATCTGATGCTCCTGGACTTAGCCCCAGGATGGAGAACGGCTCGAAGGGCTGTGCCTGCATGCATGCACACACAAAGGGGCCAGATTTCAAATGTCACATTTTGTCCCCTTAATATCAGTAGACGATCTTTGAGACGACTCAAAACGCATCTGATGCTCCGGGACTTAGTCTCAGGATGGAGAACGGCTCGAAGGACTGTGCCGGCATGCATGCACACAAACGGACAATATTTCCAATGATACCACATCATGTCATATCACACCACGTGATGAAGTAAATAATAATGAGAACTAACTTGACGTAAGGTGTGAGATACCACCACATCAGTGTGTAGCGTACATCGCGGTTGAGCACTTTAATGTAGTAGAGCAGGGCCACCATGGCGACCGACATGAGAATGAGCGTCACGTTATAAGTTGAGAATATATGTAACGAACCACATCAGTCCGTACGTACATCGCGGTTGAGCACTTTGATGTAGTAGAGCAGGGCCACCATGGCGACCCACATGAGAATGAGCGACACGTTCTGAATCGACAGGAACTCTGATACCTGTTTCGAGGCATTCATTGTAACAAAGGAGGGAGAAAAGTGAGGAGTGAGAAAAGTGAGTGGGGTTTGAGGAGCCTCAGAACGCGACCCACATGAGAATGAGCGTCATGTTCTGAATCGACAGGAACTTGGAAACCTGTTTCAAGGAATTTATCGCGGCACGGGAGGGAGAAACGTGAGGGGAGTTTTGAGGCGCCTGGAAAGGTGACCCACATGAAAATCGTGTCGCGTTTCGGATTAAAAGGATTTGGAACCCTTTGGAGCAAGGGAGGGAAAAGGGAATTCAGCTTTCCTGTCATGGTAGTGACATTATCTTCAAATTGTAGCAGAGACGAAAGCATTGAATTCAGGGTCTGGAAACACAGGATGCCTGGTTACCAGGATCGCACAACACGTGTCATGAACTTTTCGCACAAAAAAATGGATCAAGACGAAGCTGATCGCGTCGCGACGCATCCGATCAGGTAACGTCGCACAGCGTCGCACAAGATCGCATTACTCACGCGAGCCCAGACGGTGGGACGGTTCTTCGGATCGCGGTCGCACTGCGAGCACGGGCAGTGAAGCGTTTGCTTCTTAGAGGAGAAGAAGCCGATCAGGCGGTACAGAGTCCACGGTATGGCCAGTAACGCGACGATCGATAACGCGAACACCGGAAACAGTGCACTCATTTCCTCCTCTTGCGCCATTGCTGCCGAATTCGAAGCCTCGCTTGAAAATAAATCCCCTCAATCGTAACGTTCCGTGACAGGAGACTTAAGATGCTGCAAGAGAACCGATTCTTGAATTGGAGAATAAGTCCTTTTTAGAAGCGCAAAACCCAAGCCGCAACGATCAGAGAGGCTGCAGACTCTAAAAGCTAACCCACGGCATCACAATCGCACGGAGATGGGCAAGGGGAGCTGCCAGGTGACGAGGGCGATGGCGATGCGGACTAGCTGCACACAGACGACTCCTGCTCCGACAACTGATCAGCGAACAGTGAGACTTGTCGCTGGTGATGCTGATCTGCTTCGGTCGCTCCGAAGATCCTGATGTCAGTCAGTGAGAAGGGGACAGCATAAGCTCAAGGTAATTGAGAGATCTTGTGCAATTTAGGCTCGGAGTGTAAAGTTGGATTATAAACTGAAGTGTTCTGCGGTGTCGTTAATACGATTAGCGAGAAGCTCAGCGGTGGATATTGGGACGAGGCGTTGGTGTTGCAGCGACATTGCAAAAATCCGCTGATGTGGTGGAGCTGCGGAGCGGACCCGCAATCAGTGTGGGACTCGAGAATCCAATTGGTCGACTCTCTCTCGGGATCTCCGCAGCTTGACCAGGCCACCAGCACTGTCGAAGTTACCACGGTTGTGCGCACCCTTTCATCTGGACCAGGCGATATCTGGCGAGCTTGCACGAAAATGCACGACACAAATTCTAGTCGAGGTTTACCCACGCTTGAATCTTTAACTGGGTAACCCGGTTGACACAATCCTTACAGGACTCTGGGATGTTATTTCTTTATCCATTTCTCGTTCTGCCATGGCGGCCTGACATTCCTTTTTATCCTGCTTCTTCCCTTCCGCTCCTCCAGTCCTCACTCAGGGCTCTTCAATTAGAGCTCGTGAATCTTTCGTAGCTTCCCTGAATCCCTAGTTTTCGCATCACCTTTTCCTGATTCCTTAGTCGTCGACTGCGTGTTGCCAATCTTGGCTCGCGTGGTATCTGCTCCCTCGTTCTTATCCTGTTGGCGTGGACCAACATGGCATTCATATCGTACGCCATCTACTTGATTTTCTTGCCGATTCGATGGCTTCTGTACCTCGTCATCGTGAAGGGATTTCACTACATCTTTCAGACGCTCGGATTTACGATTGGTTTGCTCGGCGGCTTAGTTGCTGGCTACTTCATTTTCATTCATAAGCTCCCAACAGCCGTGGAGGTAAGTTCCCAGATGATTGGTGTGCTCTGCGACGCGTCTTAGTCTCCAAATAATTTTCTTGTTATGAGTCAATGTTTATAACTATCAACCCTCACATGTTATTTTTTCTTCCTCTCGATTCAAAACCGAAAGAATTTGTCACATCATCTTTCACCGCACTCTCAAACAGCAATTTTCATGCGTTTCGTCATACATTCGCGGGTTTTATTATTTTCCTTCTTTCCCCAGGTCCTGATTTTCCAGGTTTTTATTTCCCCGGGTTTTATGTTCTTTTTCGTTCCCGCAAGAGCCAGAGGTGAAGGAGCTGATTCCGGAGGGCGCGACGACTTTTGAAGCGCCTCGTTCCGCTTCTGCTTTGTTCTGATTCTGTTCTTCTTCTCTTCTTCTTCCTTTCTTCTTTTCTTTGTCGCAGGAGCCAGAGGTGAAGGAGCTGATTCCCGAGGGCGCGACGCTCAAAGAGGAGGAGTTGCAGGAGTACTACTCGTATCTGCCGCCGTGGGTCAGCAACCCGGACTACGAACGCGTGGACTGGATGAACAAGCTCGTCGCTGAGATGTGGCCCTACCTCAACAAGGTAATTTCCAACTGTGCCCTTACCTATACTGTTACGCGAATAGTGAAGGAGCACGCTGATAATGAGCAAGCTCGTCGCTGAGATGTGGCCCTACCTCAACAAGGTAATTTCCAACTGTACCCTCACTTGCGCCGACTTTTGAGTCGACTCAGTAGTCAGCGCGTGGCGTGTACTGCATGAACGAGCCCATTGCCAAGGTTTGGCCCTATTTCAACAGTATGTTTTCAACTGTAATTCCATTTCCAGCAACGAGGTGATTTATGAGGCCATCAGCGAACAGATCAGGGAGATTTGGACGCCCATGCTCAAGGCCCAACAGCCCGCGTTCACGAGAACCCTCGTCTTCTTTTCTAATCTCACATTCTTCTCAATCGATGCATCATGCATCGGTGTACCTTGTGTTTCCGCGTGTCCGTGCGTCCCATCAGGCCATCAGCGAGCAGATCAGGGAGATTGGGACGCCCATTCTCAAGGCCCAGCAGCCCGCATTCATCGAAACTCTTGAATTCCAGGAGATCGACCTGGGGACCATCCCACCCGCCGTCCTTGGTCAGTCTGCTACATGCTCTCTGTTGCGTACTGTCTAGTGCATGCCCTTTGCTAGATGCTGTCCGCTGCATGCTCTCTGCTATAGCATTCCTTGAGACGCCCATGCTCAAGGCACAGCAGCCCACGTTCATCGAGACCCTTGAATTCCAGGAAATTGACCTCAAGACCATTCCACCCGCCATCCTCCGTTAGTCTCATTCAGGCTCCCTGTTACATGCATACTATCGTTTGACACCACAAACGGCGAGGTCATTCTGCAGACTGCTCTGCGCCGCAGTGCTCCTCACTGCACTGCACTGCACTGCACTGCACTGCACTGCACTGCACTGCACTGCACTGCACTGCACTGCACTGCACTGCGCAGCAGGGCTGCAGCAGTGCTCCTTCTGCTCGCACCATCCGCTCCCTCCCTCCCTCCCTCCCTCCCTCCCTCCTGCCCCACCTCGCAGCCATCAAGTCGTTTGACACTGGTTTTGAGGCGCCTCAAAACTAGACGACGAGGCCATTCCTCACACTGCACTGCCTTTCTGATCCATCTCCGAGGTCACCTTTCTCTCGCGTTCTCTCTCCCCGTCTCTCCCCCTCTATCTGTCTGCACCCGCCCGCGCAGCCATCAAGTCGTGTGACACAACGGACGACGAGGCCCTTTGGCAGACCGCACCACATTGCACTGCTCCGCTCCGCCTTATGAGCCAAATCAGATGTCACCTGTCTCTCGCATCTGCTGTCCGTCTCTTGTCTTCCATTCTCTGTCTGCACACCCCCCCCCATGGCAGCCATCAAGTCGTTTGACACCACGGACGACGAGGTCATCCTGCAGACGGCACTGCGCTGGGCGGCCAACAACAACATTATCGTCACTGCCTCCGCCAAGGGCTTTACTGGCACCGTGCAGGTGGGTTGGGTTCCCTGTTGGTGCCGCTGTTTCCTTTCCTCCACTGCATGGTGCTGTTCGGTGCTATTCGGTGCTGCTCGGTGCTGCTTGGTGCTGCTCTCTGTGCTGCCCTGCCCATCAGATTATCGACCTACAGGTGGCTGCAACCACGCGAATCACGCTCAAGCCGCTCATGCCCATTTTCCCGTCACTCTCTGCCTCTCTCCTTCCCCACTCCTTCCCCTGTCCTTTCGACTGTGCTGTGCTGCCCTGCCCATCAGATCACCGACCTGCAGGTGGCAGCAGTGACGCGCATCACGCTCAAGCCGCTTGTGCCCATCTTCCCATCACTCTCTGCTTCTCTCCTTCCCCACTCCTTCCCCTGTCCTTTCGACTGTGCTGCCCTGCCCTGCCCATCAGATCACCGACCTGCAGGTGGCAGCAGTGACGCGCATCACACTCAAGCCGCTCGTGCCCATCTTCCCATCACTCTCTGCTTCTCTCCTTCCCCACTCCTTCCCCTGTCCTTTCGACTGTGCTGCCCTGCCCTGCCCATCAGATCACCGACCTGCAGGTGGCAGCAGTGACGCGCATCACGCTCAAGCCGCTCGTGCCCATCTTCCCATCACTCTCTGCTTCTCTCCTTCCCCACTCCTTCCCCTGTCCTTTCGACTGTGCTGCCCTGCCCTGCCCATCAGATCACCGACCTGCAGGTGGCAGCAGTGACGCGCATCACGCTCAAGCCGCTCGTGCCCATCTTCCCCTGCTTCTCCACTATCACCGTCTCCTTCATGGATAAGGTGCCCCCCCCCTACCACTTTCACACCACTTTCACATCTCTTCCACACCTCTCTCGCGTACTTTCGTGCCTCTTTCGCGTTCCTTTTCGCGCCCCATCATGCAATGCCTATTTCACTGCCTCATCCCAGCTCTGAGTCTGCAACAACGCAATTATCTAACATCACCCTCCCCTTTACTCCTATTGTGCACATTTTATTTCACATAAAACCAAAAAAATAAAAGAACAAAAAACAGGGAGCTCTGTGATCCCGTTTCCATACGTCTCTGCTGTTCTCTCTCCCCCCCTTCATCCCCTTGTCCTGCAATCCATCCATCCGCTCCTGCCTTATCCTGCCCGCCATCCCCCCTCTTTCATCCCTCAACAGCCACAAGTCGATTTTGGTCTCAAGGTGGTGGGACTAGATGTCATGGCCATCCCCGGCCTCTACACCTACGTGCAGGTGCGTGCCTTGCCATTGGACTGCATTGAGGTGACTTTTGAGTCAACTCAAAAGTCACCTTGGGACTGGACGTCATGGCCATCCCCGGCCTCTACACCTACGTGCAGGTGTGTGCCTTGCCATTGGACTGCCTTGCCCTGGGCCTGCTGCTGTGCCTGCACTGTAGGTCTTTGTGCTCTGCTGCTCTGGGCTTACATTTGCCTTTCATGTGCGTCACTCTCTCAAGGTGGTGGGACTAGACGTCATGCTTGTCCCTCGGCCTCTACACCTACGTACGTGCAGGTGCGTGCTGCTCTGCTGCTCTGCTTCTCTGTAGGTTTGTAAGTCTGCAGGTATCAGGTGCTTTCAGGGACCTCAGACTCTCAAGGTGGTGGGACTAGGCGTCATGGCCATCCCTGGCCTCTACACCTACGTGCAGGTGCGTGCTGCTCTGCTTCTCTGTAGGTCAGCAGGTTCCTGGCTGGCCTTGCACTGCAGGTGCAGTGCAGTGCAGGTTACAGGGGCCTCAGACACCTAGGTGCCTTGCCTTTCATGCGCCTCAGACCCCCAGGTGCCTTGTTATCCTGATCTCTACAGGGCAGCAGGGAAGCAGGCCAGCAGGGCAGCAGGGCTGCCTGCAGGTGTCGTACATTAAGCTCCGGTTTTCTCCTGCCTTGCACGTCCCACTCCTCTCCTCTCCTCTCAACTCCCCTTTTCTTCCTTCCATTTGCTTCCATCCCCAACCTCCCCCCCGCCACGAGCAGAAGACCATCGGCAACACAACACAGTCACCATTATGTACATGTGGCCCTTCTGAGGCGCCTCAAAAGTCGTCACAGTCACCATTATGTTGTTTTTTTTCTTTTTTTTCTTTTTTTCACAGTCACCATTATGTATATGTGGGTCTTCCCTTTCCCACTGCTGCCTCACCTCTCAACTCCTCTTCTCTTCCTTCCACTTGCCTCCTTTCCCTGTCTCCGTCCCTCCCCACTCGAGCAGAAGACCATCGGCGACGTAGCAGCGAGCATGTACATGTGGCCCAAGGTGCTCGAGGTCTACGACGACCAGCCGCTGTGAGTGCTTCTCAGGTCACAAGCGACAAGGTTCATGCGCGAAAGAGCACTGCTCATAGCCCAGGGGGGGTGTCGGTGAGTGCCTCTAAGGGTCTCTCCGTAGCAGCCAGCATGTACATGTGGCCCAAGGTGCTGGAGGTGTACGACGACCAGCCGCTGTGAGTTCATTACGTGATGCTGCTGTGGAACGAAGGTGCTCGTGAGTGGCTCGAGAGTGGCTTCAAGAGAGCATGTACATGTGGCCCAAGGTGCTGGAGGTGTACGACGACCAGCCGCTGTGAGTGCCATGGGACCACACCACACTGAGATGAATGAGGCTATGCGTTACCCAGGTATTGGTCTCTCAGTGGCAGGCATGTACATGTGGCCCAAGGTGCTCAAGTGCATCATGGGATCAGGAGACCACACAGAGAGCAAGTGCTGTTTATAACCTAGGGAAGATACTCTTTGTGATAACGAGCACTGTCTACTCCCCTGTGGAAGGTTGCTCCCTTGGAAAGGGTCTCACACCGGCGAGCATGTACATGTGGCCCTACGTGCGCTTCTCCATTGACGGCCGCGCGCTGGGCCGCCGCAGCACGTCCCACCCCTTGTGTTCTTCTCCCCCCCAGCACATTCCAACTCACTGCCTGCGTTTTTACTCCTTCAACCCCCCCGCCCCCTTGTACCTCCCACAGCGCCCCCATTGGCTGGCTGGTCATTACCCACATTAAAGGCACCCATCTGCGCAATCTGGGAGGCATGATGGCCAAGTCCGACCCCTACGTGCGCTTCTCCATCGACGGTCGCGCGCTGGGCCGCCGCAGCACGTCAGTCAAGAAGGACGATTTGGACCCCGACTGGGGCAAGGAGGAGCTGCTGGTGCGCGTGGCGGATCTTCAGAAGCAGAAGCTGCATATTGAAGTGTTCGACAAGTCCTTTACGGTGAGTTGGGAGGGGGGATTTGGGGGTGCTCCTAGGTGAAACTGTGGCCGAAATCCGACCCCTAAATGCTGACTTCTCTCCATTGATGGCCGCGCGCTGGGCCGCCGCAGCACGTCGGTCAAGAAGGACGATTCGGACCCTGACTGGGGCAAGGAGGAGCTGCTGGTGCGCGTCGCGGATCTTCAGAAGCAGAAGCTGCACGTTGAATTGGGGGTTCTTCTGAGCTCATGTGTGGTCCAAGTCCCACCATGTGCAACCTAGCCGGCATGATGGGTGAAATCCCATGCACGTCTCTCTCTCTACATGGCATTTACGAGGGTGCTCCCACGTTCTCGGCTAGCTCTCTTGCTCAACCCACCACCACCCCCACCCTCCCCCCTTCCCCCCCTCCCCCAGCTCCTGCCCACCAGAACAAGCCAGCCAGACAAGCTGATGAGCCATTTATGAGGGGGCTCCCATGCACTTACCGTCTTGCTCACCACTCTCCTCCCCCCCTCCCCCCCCCTTCCCCCAACCACCAGAACAAGCCAGACAAGCTGATGAGCGTCACGCGCGTGGCTCTAGAAGGAATTCACGAGGGTGCCCCCACGCACTTTGAGTCCCGCCTCGTGGCTCGCTTTGCTGATCTCGAGCCGGGCGCGCAGACAGGCAGCAAGAAGGACCTTGGGTTCCTGGGATTCGACATTAAGCTGCGGTCAGTTTCTATTATCTTCATATATTCAATACACACACACACACACATGCACACACATCCTCTCCTCTCCCCTCCTCTCTTCTCACCCGTCGCCCCCCTTTCCTCCCTCTTTCGTTCCCTCTCTCCTCACCGCCCACTTCCTCTCTCTCTGCCGTCCTTCCTCCCTCCGTCAGTCCATTGGCCAATGGAGAGGCAGAGATGTGGAGAACGAGGTCTTCCCCTCGTGGCTCAAGGTGGGGGGCGGCCGGCTGCCCCTCACCTCTCATAATCTCCCTTCTCACCCGTCTCCCATCTCTCCTCTATTTCTTTTGCCCTCTCTCCCCCTGCTTTCTCCCATTCCGTTGGCCAAGGGAGAGGGAGATGCCGGTCGATGTGGAGATTGAGGTCTGCCCCTCGTGGCTGCCATTTTCCCCTCTCTCTTCTCTCCTCTCACCAGGGTCCTATCTCTACCCCTCTCTCTCTCCCTCCGCCCTCCCTCCCTCCCTTCAGTCCATTGGCAAAGGGAGAGGCAGAGATGCCAGACGATTATGAAATCAAGGTGTTCCCCTCGTGGCTCAAGGTGGGGAGAGGCCGAGTCCTCCTGTCCTCACGTCCCCTTTCCCTCCTCTCTTCTCTCCTTCCTCCCTCCTCCGTCCCTCCCTCCCTCCTCGGTTCCTCCCTCCCGTCAGTCCGTTGGCCAAGGGAGAGGCAGAGATGCCAGACGACGTTGAGATCGAGGTCTTCCCGTCGTGGCTCAAGGTGGGGGGCGGCCGCCTGCGCATGATGCTCCGGGAGGGGGAGAACCTCGAGTCCAACAAGCACGCCAACCCCTTCGTGCAGCTGCGCTTCCGCGCGCACGAGTGGACGAGCAAGGTGCACAAGAAGGCGGCAGAGCTGACGTTCGATGAGGACGACAAGTGGGAGCTGCTGCTGGATGAGCCTCCTGCCAAGGACGTGCTCCATGTGAAGGTCTACAGCAAGAACATGAGCACGCTCTCCATCTCCTCCTCCAAGGTACGTGCTGGAAACACCTTTCATTCACCCCTCTCCACCTCCTAGCACCGCACTATGGCACTCTCTCCTCTCCCTTTCAAGGTACGCACCTCCTCCTCCTCCTCCTCCAAGGCACGAGTGGACGAGCAAGGTGCACAAGAAGGCGGCGGAGCTGACGTTCGATGAGGACGACAAGTGGGAGCTGCTGCTGGATGAGCCTCCTGCCAAGGACGTGCTCCATGTGAAGGTCTACAGCAAGAACATGAGCACGCTCTCCATCTCCTCCTCCAAGGTACGCGCGTATGGCTCCTTCAGCTGAGGTCGTGCTGACGCGCGTATGGCTCCTTCAGCTGAGGACGTACTGACGAGCGTATGGCTCCTTCAGCTGAGGACGTGCTGACGCGCGTATGGCTCCTTCAGCTGAGGACGTGCTGACGCGCGTATGGCTCCTTCAGCTGAGGACGTGCTGACGCGCGTATGGCTCCTTCAGCTGAGGACGTGCTGACGCGCGTATGGCTCCTTCAGCTGAGGACGTGCTGACGCGCGTATGGCTCCTTCAGCTGAGGACGTGCTGACGCGCGTATGGCTCCTTCAGCTGAGGACGTGCTGACGCGCGTATGGCTCCTTCAGCTGAGGACGTGCTGACGCGCGTATGGCTCCTTCAGCTGAGGACGTGCTGACGCGCGCATGGCTCCTTCAGCTGAGGACGTGCTGACGCGCGCATGGCTCCTTCAGCTGAGGACGTGCTGACGCGCGTATGGCTCCTTCAGCTGAGGACGTGCTGACGCGCGTATGGCTCCTTCAGCTGAGGACGTGCTGACGCGCGTATGGCTCCTTCAGCTGAGGACGTGCTGACGCGCGTATGGCTCCTTCAGCTGAGGACGTGCTGACGCGCGTATGGCTCCTTCAGCTGAGGACGTGCTGACGCGCGTATGGCTCCTTCAGCTGAGGACGTGCTGACGCGCGTATGGCTCCTTCAGCTGAGGACGTGCTGACGCGCGTATGGCTCCTTCAGCTGAGGACGTGCTGACGCGCGTATGGCTCCTTCAGCTGAGGACGTGCTGCCGCGCGTATGGCTCCTTCAGCTGAGGACGTGCTGACGCGCGTATGGCTCCTTCAGCTGAGGACGTGCTGACGCGCGTATGGCTCCTTCAGCTGAGGACGTGCTGACGCGCGTATGGCTCCTTCAGCTGAGGACGTGCTGACGCGCGTATGGCTCCTTCAGCTGAGGACGTGCTGACGCGCGTATGGCTCCTTCAGCTGAGGACGTGCTGACGCGCGTATGGCTCCTTCAGCTGAGGACGTGCTGACGCGCGTATGGCTCCTTCAGCTGAGGACGTGCTGACGCGCGTATGGCTCCTTCAGCTGAGGACGTGCTGACGCGCGTATGGCTCCTTCAGCTGAGGACGTGCTGACGCGCGTATGGCTCCTTCAGCTGAGGACGTGCTGACGCGCGTATGGCTCCTTCAGCTGAGGACGTGCTGACGCGCGTATGGCTCCTTCAGCTGAGGACGTGCTGACGCGCGTATGGCTCCTTCAGCTGAGGACGTGCTGACGCGCGTATGGCTCCTTCAGCTGAGGACGTGCTGACGCGCGTATGGCTCCTTCAGCTGAGGACGTGCTGACGCGCGTATGGCTCCTTCAGCTGAGGACGTGCTGACGCGCGTATGGCTCCTTCAGCTGAGGACGTGCTGACGCGCATATGGCTCCTTCAGCTGAGGACGTGCTGACGCGCGTATGGCTCCTTCAGCTGAGGACGTGCTGACGCGCGTATGGCTCCTTCAGCTGAGGACGTGCTGACGCGCGTATGGCTCCTTCAGCTGAGGACGTGCTGACGCGCGTATGGCTCCTTCAGCTGAGGACGTGCTGACGCGCGTATGGCTCCTTCAGCTGAGGACGTGCTGACGCGCGTATGGCTCCTTCAGCTGAGGACGTGCTGACGCGCGTATGGCTCCTTCAGCTGAGGACGTGCTGACGCGCGTATGGCTCCTTCAGCTGAGGACGTGCTGCCGCGCGTATGGCTCCTTCAGCTGAGGACGTGCTGACGCGCGTATGGCTCCTTCAGCTGAGGACGTGCTGACGCGCGTATGGCTCCTTCAGCTGAGGACGTGCTGCCGCGCGTATGGCTCCTTCAGCTGAGGACGTGCTGACGCGCGTATGGCTCCTTCAGCTGAGGACGTATGCTCCTTCTACCTACTCTCATATTCGCCCTAGAAGGACCCACAGACTTCCACGTGCACTCTCTCCGTTCTGTTCCCTCCTTTCCCACCTCGCGTTTCTTCTTCCTTGCTTCCGCCCAACCCCCCCCCTCCCCCACTCTCCTCCACAGGACCTGATCGGCCACTGCAACATCAATGATCAATCTGTCAGAAGTGGTGGCCAATGGCCGCATCAACCCGACTTCTACCTGCTCTGATTTCTACTTTCCCTGCTCCCACTCCTCCCATTCTCCTCCACAGGACCTGATCAGCCACTGCGACATCAATCTGTCAGACGTGGTGGCCAGCTTTACTATTCCTTCCTTTCCCGCCCCACATATTCTTCCCCTCCCCATTCTCCCCGACAGGACCTGATTGGTCACTGCGACATCAATCTGTCAGACGTGGTGGCCAATGGGCGAATCAACGACTTCTATCTGCTCTCAGACTCTCCCAAGAACGGGCGCATCAAGATCGAGCTGCAGTGGCACGAGCGCACCCCTGAGTCCACCGTCGTCAACGAGCCTCCTCCTGCCACCCGCGTGCAGTAGAGGAGAGTTGGAAGGCGAGCCTCCGTTTTTTGAGAATTCTCAAAAAACATACGCCTCCTCCTGCTGGCCAGTGGCCACCACTTGGCATGCAGAAGGGGTGAGCCGCCATCTGTCACTAGGGTGGCAGGAGCGCACACCCGAGTCAACCGTCGTCAACGAACCGCCTCCTGCCACCTGGGTGTAATAGAGTCCCATCCTTGCCGCGCATTTTTTTGTGGCTGGAGCTAGTGTAGTGTAGGCAAGGTAGAGTCACTGCACTACAGATCATTGCAGTGAAGAGAAGGTTGGTTGTGATTGGATGTGTGGTCTTCACAGGCTTGTTGCATTGGCTTTTGGTATTGGTAGAGGTGAATTGAGATGAGGTGCCACAGTGCGTTTCACTGAAAGAACTTGACTCCAGAAATGTTTTACACTTTTTAGTATTGTTGTCTTGAGGTTTGTATTCATGAAAACAAGATTATTAGTACTATGTTTTTGTTTCTTCACTGACATTCAAACAACCTGGTTCTTTGTGCTATCTACCCCAAGTTGGAAGAGTAAAGCTATATATCTACAGGTGCACTTCGTCCTCTCTGTTTAACTCAGCTACACGCAACCCAAACAGCTGTTCATCGTTGGGAGATATTTCAACTCGCTCGAGTTCAGTCCCAGATTATTCCCCAGCAAATGCAGTCTGAATCATGGTATTGGTGATCCTTGAGCTCCTAATTTCCAAATGTCCTCATTCACGCTGTCAGCCTCACTCCCCTGTCGTTACAAAACTACATGTTTAAACGAGGGCTTTGTCATGCATTCAGTGGTGGTAAGACAGCATCAGGCCCCACATGGTCGTCAGAAGCAGTCGACATAAGAGCACACTCGTCCTTCAGTGCTTGGCCTAGCATCTCAGCCGACAGGCTGTCTCCCGGACACAACCCCAGCGCCTGTTCATGCTCAAGGGGGGTTGTCAAGGAGAAGGGGGGGCCAAGGGGGGTGAAAGATGCATATATCATGGCTTACAGAAGCCCAGAGCCTGCTTATGTTTGTGAGCAGTGGTTGGGGAGGGGGAATGAGAAGGGGAATGGGGAAACAAATGCTTCCATAATTGCACACTTGACATGACGGGAAGGGAGAAGAGGGGCTTGGGGAGTGGGGACAGGCGGGAAGGAGGGGAGCGGGGGATGTGCTGTGCTGTGATGCATGGTGCCCGAGAGTCAATACACACCTGGTGCGACTCAGCGACAGCAGCATGTTTCCACCATAGACTTGTGCAGGAACAAATAAAGACAGCAAAAAGCACAGAGTGGGTTTGGCCAAGGAATTAAACAAAGAACAGATAGGTTGTTGGGAACGGGATAAGGTTTGTACAACAGTAATAAGAGCCAATCCCACCTTGTGGTAGAACTCAATAGCGGGGATGAGGTTTCCCTGCAGGTGGTGGGTGAAGGCCATAGCAGCGAAGGTGCTGGCAGTGTTGGGGCGGAGAGAGAGAGCCTGCTCATACACCATCAGGGCGTCGCCGTATCTCCTGCTCATGTGGGTGGGTAAACCGAGAAATGGGGAAGAAGGAGACGAGGTGGGAAACAGAGAGGAGGAGGATTGCGGAGAGAGAGAGAGAGCCTGCTCATACACCATCAGCGCATCGCCGTATCTCCTGCTTGGATGAATGGGGGAATGGAAAAAAACGGAGGGGGGTGGGAAAGGGGGAAACGAAGGTGGAGAGTGAAGGCCATGGCTGCAAAGGTGCTGGCTGGCAGTGTTGGGGCGGAGAGAGACACCATCAGCGCATCGCCGTATCTCCTGCTCCGGGTGGGGAGAGCAAACAGAAAAGAAGGAAGGTGGTGACTTTTGAGTCGACTCAAAAGTCACCTCGTATCTCCTGCTCCAGGTGCAGAGAGCAAACAGAAAAGAAGGAAGGTGGTTGGTCACAATGAAAGGGCATCGCCTCACTTCCCTCCTCGCAATTCCCTCGCCCCATTTTTCTCACCCCATTTCCCTCAACCGAATCCCCCCACCCCATTCCCCCCACCCCATTCCCCCCACCCCATTCCTCCCACCCCATTCCCCCCACCCCATTCCCCCCACCCCATTCCCCCCACCCCATTCCCCCCATCCCATTCCCCCCATCCCATTCTCCCCAATCCATTTTCCCCAACCCACTCCCCTCACCTCCATTCCCCTCACCCCGTTCCCTCACCTCATTCCCCTCACCCCAACTCCCTCACCTCATTTTCCGGTACGAGTGACCGAGGTTGACCACGGTTGACTCCCACAGACCCAGCGACTCTGCCACCACAGCCTGCCGCCCTGCTGCCGCATTCGAGCTCCCCCTCCCCCCCTCGCTCTCTGCCCCCCCTCCCTCCCCCGCTGCTGCTCCGTAACCAGCCACCAGCCGCAGAGCCATTTCAAAGTGTCGCGCTGCTGAGGTGAAACTGGGAAATACAAAAGAGGTTGGGTGGGAAGTGGGGGGGTAGGGGTTGGGGGAGGGGGAGGGGAGGGGAAGGGAGAACGGAGGGATGTTATGGAAAGCAGAGAGGGTGCAAGATTTGGTGTCTGGAGTATGTTTTAGAAGAGTCCTAGCTGCTACGTCTCTGTATCCTACTTCAAGTTGCAGAGTCACCTCAAATCGATGCACTGCTGCTGTAAACTAATGTTTCTCGGTACATATGGTAGAAGACAGGTAGGGAAGGGGGGGAGGGGGAAGGAGCACAAGGACTGGGCAATAAAAGGTGAAATTCAATGAAAAAGGGTGGAAAACAAGAACAGAAAACTCAAAGAACCAAGGAGGCATAGAGGCTTACTCGAGGCTCCTGTAGGCAATGACTCCTAGCTCGTTATGCACTAGTGGATCCGAGGGACACAGCCTGCGTGTTGGTGACTTTTCAGACGACTAAAAACTCAAGAATAAAGAGGAAGCATGGGTTTTAGGCTTACTCGAGGCTCCTGTAGGCAATGACTCCTAGCTCATTATGCACGAGCGGGTCTGAGGGACACAGCCTGCGCGCCTCATCCAAGAACTGGCATTGGGGCGGGGAATGGGGGACAAGGAGTTGGGGCGGAGGGTGGCGGGGGAGAGGAGGGGAGGAAAGGGGGAACGGGAATAAGAATGAGGGAGGAGGAAGAGCTCGTTATGCACTAGTGGATCCGAGGGGCACAGCCTGCGCGCCTCATCCAGAAACTGGGCATTGGGGGGGTTGGGAAGGGGGGGGGGGGGTCCGGGAGAAGGGTGCATGAGAGGGAACGTTGAGAGAGGGAGCGAGGGGAGAAGGTGGGAGAGGAAAAATGGGAAGTAGGAAGAAGGTGGTAGAACGGAGAATAAAAAAAGAGGAGAGACGGGGAAGAGGGGAGAAGGGGGAAGAGGGGATGGACCAAGCTGCTGCATCTACCTTCTGAAACAAGAACAACAAGAGCAAGGAGAAATGGAACTTGCATGCCCCAGGTAGAACCCCAGCTGTATGAGAGATTGACTCACATGCAACGACAAGCTGAGGTTGTTAGAGCGTGCATATTCCATGCCAATGCACACCAGAGGCACATGGAAGCTGCACAAGGAGAGGACAAACGCAGGGAAGGAGAGGACAAAACACGGGGGAGGGCCGCATGGAGGGCTTAGGAGGGGGAAGGGGGTTGGGAGAGTCGGGATTGCGTGTCAATTGTAAAAAGGTTTCTGTGGTTCTGGGTACTAGAGGCACAGGGACGAAGGCAGCATCTTCCAGAGCACAGTAGATACCACACCACACCACACCCCACTGCACCGCACCATACCACAACACAACCTACTCAGAGAAGGGCCGCACTGCTGTGCAATAAGCAACCATAGCCTGATCCGTCCCCCCCTGAGATGCATGCGTGTGCCCAAAGACCAGCAAGATGCACCGCACCCCACAGTCCCACCCCACCCCATCACACCACATCACATCCCACCGCACTCTACCAAACCCTACCCTGTGAAAAGTCGCACTGCTGTGCGATATGCCACCATGGCCTGATCCGTCTCCTCCTGAGCCGCATACGTGTGCCCAAAACCCATCCACGCGGGGGCGAAGGCAGCGCTGACGGTGGTGGCCTTGCAGAAGAACCGCCTCGCCTGGTCGTGCTGCCGAGTGAAGTAGTAGTAGCACGCCACTGCGAACCACGCCAACGCCCTGCCAAGGATATGCCACGGGAGGAGCGTCAGTAGCGGTGGTGATCATGCAATGTGCATTCTCGTGCTGCCTGATGCAGTAGTAGTAGCACGCCACGGCGAACCATGCCAACGCCCTGCCAAGGATATGCCACAGGGGGGATAACACTAACAAATTTAGGGTGCCTTAAAGAATCATCAAAGGCAGCGCTGACGGTGGTGGCCTTGCAGAAGAACCGCCTCGCCTGGTCGTGCTGCCGGATGCAGTAGTAGTAGCACGCCACTGCGAACCACGCCAACGCCCTGCCAATGTCACAACGAAGGCAGGAGAAACAGGAACAGCGTAATGTGCTTGCGAGGATTTTCAGAGGCAGCGCTGGCGGTGGTGGCCTTGCAGAAGAACCGCCTCGCCTGGTCGTACTGGCGGATGCAGTAGTAGTAGCACGCCACGGCGAACCATGCCAGTGCTCTGAGGAGTAAGCATGGTGGGTGGGAGTAATACAAGTACGGAATATGTGTCAGTTGTGGGTAAAGGCGGTTGCTGGTCCTGTGCATGCTGCTAGATGCAGTGCTCAGGCCATCGCGAACCATTGAGGTTCACCTGCCCAGGTGCACCGCTGCTACTGCACTGCACTCAGAGCCACCCAAGAGGTGCTACCATCGACTCACGTGTTGGGATGGTCGTCCACCAGCTGGTGTGCCGCTCTGAAAAGCTCGTTCCTCCTGCCCAGGTGCACCGCTGCTACCAGGTGGGTGGGAATGCAGCGAGTGTTGTGCGGATCTCGATCCAAGACACTGCCATGGGCAGGGTGGAGGAGGGAGACGAACAGGAAGGAGGGAGGAGATAGACACAGCAAGGCTGGATGAGGGAGAAGCAGCAAGGGCAGAGGACGGAAGGAGGGATAAGCATACTGCAAGCTGTATGGTGATGACTACTGTCATGGTAATACGTACACCATTCCCCCACAAACTTACTGCTTTGTGATCCGATACGCATCCTCGTATCGCCCCACGTGCAGCATCAGCTCAGCACGGCTCGTTGCCACGTCACCACTGCCGCCCAGCAACCCTTGCTCCACCGACCTCCCTCTCCCCCTCCCACCCCCACCACCACCACCACCACCGTCCTTCGAGGCCCACCCTAGCCCAACTCCTACTCCTGCCTTCTTCCCAACCCTCTCCTCGTTGGCACCCACTCCCCGATCAGTGTCATTCACAGCAGCACCTCCACTAGTAGCAGCAGCAGCAGCAGTTGTGGCAGCGGCAGGTGCAGGTGTTTGCGAGGGTGTGGATGTGGGAGGAGCAGAGATTCGTCTGTTGCCGAGACGGGTTGGCTGGTTGGAGAGAGGCGATGGGCCTTCGAGAAGCTTCAGCTGTTGCTCCACTGCGTCCTCTCTACCATACTGAAGGGGAACAGAAACGCAAAACCACAGAAAGACCGAGGCACGTTTCAGTGAGGAATCCATCAGATCTCATAAGTTCGGGAGCGACGGGCATGACCGGTAAGAAAGAGGCTTCGTGATCGCAGACATGGGAGCAACGAAACGGAACTCCTTCTGGAAAAAGGGAATGAGGGTATTACCTTCTTGCAGCGGCACGAGTAGAGCAGACGCAGCCACTCGAATCCAGCAGGGATGTTGAGAGACTCGACCATATCGACCTCTGCAGAACACATATGCAAATGGGCGGCAGATGGAAGGCAGATGGGCAACGTTTTGAGGCGCCACAAAAACTGAAGCCAGTAGGGATGTTGAGAGACTCGACCAGATCGACCTCTGCACAACACATATGCAGATGGGCGCCGATGGACGGGAGATGGGCAGCCCAAGGGAGGGCAACACGATTTAGGCGATATGTAAGAGAGGACGTAGAAGGAGCAACTGAGCAACTGCTTAAGAGAGCATGCAGGTTTACGCTGTCCCATAGGAGGGAAGGAGGGAGGGGGGGTCAGATAGCGGGTTTTCTAGGCCCTAGGTGCGAGTCGTCACAGCATGGGAGCCCATGAGGCATCCCGTGACTCAGTGCCCAGTGCGCTTCATCATGCCCCCCTCTTCATACTCTCAATCAACACCTGATCGATTAGTTTGGATCGACACAGCACAGACCCATCTATTCACATTCTTTCACGTCCATTGATAAACATTAGACACACCAGAAACACCAGACACGCCAGTCGTGTCACATTACACCAGACGGCATAAAAATCACCACATTGCGCGTGCCCATCACAAAAACAAGACAAAAACCTTACCTTGCTCATCCGTATCATTTGGGTCAAGATCTAGCAGCACTCGCTCACCTTGTTCGGTTGTTAGCATATGATTTTCCATCAGCTCGTCAAACGCCTGAGGTGACAGTGACACGCAAACAGAGAGATAGACATGGGGAGGGACACAGAAAGGAAAGGCAGCTCATCCATTGTAAGAACACAGCTTCTCCGTTGTAAGCACACAGCAAGCAAGGTCAGTCATCACCGGGAATCATTGAACGCACGAGACTGGAGACGCACCTCTGAGCAAAACGGATCAGCCTGCAGCGCAGCCGAAAGCCTGCGGGGTGGAGAGCGACAAGGGAGAGAAAACATTTTTTTAAAAAAAGGGATAAGCCAATGAGACAAGCCCGAGGAAGTGGGACGGACGAAGGCGGATTCGGGTGACACTGACAGAAACAGGAGAAGGAAATTGCAGCTGTACGGCAAAGACTTGCAGGTAAAAGCGGAAAGGAAGCAGTCAGATGGGAGGAAAGAGGGCTGCACAAGACGCAGGTATGAAGGTCAACGAGCTGAAGGTCGTTGGCTGGAGCATGTATTGACTGTCAGCTCAGCATGCGAGCATGCTCAGATTCAAGCGTTGTGTGTAATCAGAGCCCATTGGGGTTGTCAGGATTTGATGGTGCTATGAGAATCATCACGGCAAGATATATGTGTGTGGAAACGGAGAGAGATCAAGCAGCCAGATCCCACAGGAAAACTGGAGAAGACTTCCAGAGAAAACGAAGTAGAGGCCATACTGCAGATAAAACAAAATGATGAATGAAATTATTGATAAAATAAAATGATGTACGCACGCGTATGAAAACAAAAATAGGTAAGGACGCAGGACCATAATTAGTTATCAGAAAGCGGACATGCTCAGATTCAAGCGTTGTGTGTAATCAGAGCCCATTTGGGTCGTCAGGATTTGATGGTGCTGTGAGAATCATCATGGCAGGTGGCAGACGCGCAGGCACAGGAGAGACCAGACGACCAGATTCTCCAGCAAAAAGGGTAACTGGGACAGGGCGACTAGGTATAGGGTTTATATTGGAAACAACGCATCATAATAGTGCGAAACGATCTTGTGATACAGTGGCAACGACGTTGATAAGGACAGCTTGTACGGAAACGTAGATCTGCTCAGATACAATAGATGTTGTGTAATCAGAACCCAACAGTAGGTATCAGGATTTGATGGTGCATTGTTTGTCGTCACAGCAGATTGCACGACGTCAGGTTCAGCCGAAAATTAAGAGCATATGCGTGAAAGGAAAAGTAGGAGCGGGGGTCAGATAGCGGGTTTTCTAGGCCCTAGGTGCGAATCGTCACAGCATGGGATCCCATGAGGCATCCCGTGACTCAGTGCCCAGTGCGCTTCATCACATCCCGTCTATTCTCACTTGCTCGAGATACTCTTCCACTTGACACAACCCCTTTCTATAATAATACAGAAAACAACGCGCCTGGTGTATGCTAAGCGAGTAAACAGAACTTGATGGTCGGCGCCAGGAATTTATGATGGATTCTTTATCGTCATGGCGGGTTGCACAGCAGAAAGGCTGACGAAACACCAAGAAAGATGCAAGCGGAAATCGCTCCAGGGAGGACAAGTTGTTGAGCGGGGGGTCAGGTAGCGGGTTTTCTAGGCCCTTAAGTGCGAATCGTCACAGCATGGGAGCCCATGAGGCATCCCGTGACTCAGTGCCCAGTGCGCTTCATCACACCCCTTCAATTCGTACTTGCTCGAGATACTCTTCCACTGCACACAACCGCTTTCTATGATAATACAGAAAAACGACGCGCCTGATGTCTGCTAATCGAGTAAACAGAACTTGATGGCCGGCGCCAGGACTTAATGATGGATTGCTTATCGTCATGGCGGGTTGCACTGCAGAAAGGCCGACGAACACCGAGAAAGATGCAAGCGAAAATCGCTCCAGGGCGGACAAGTTGTGTGGGGGGTCAGGTAGCGGGTTTTCTAGGCCCTAAGTGCGAGTCGTCACAGCAAGAGAGCCCATGAGGCATCCCGTGACTCGGTGCCCAGTGCGCTTCATCACTCCCCCCGCACCCGCACTGCTCTTTATCGCGCACATCTCGTACTCGTTAGCAGAAATAACCTACTTGAAGGAGGTAACTACACGGCGTACCAATGGATCGCCTTTGGTCGATTCCCGAGAGCCTCGTACGCGCGACCGCGGATCAGATTGAACGCCGCTGCTGGCTGTATGTCAGCAAGGTAGGAGGGAAGCCACAAGCCAGACGGAAAAATACATCAACGGGAGGAGCATAGGAGGTCACGACACATGTAGCCGATCGAATGATAAAATGCGGTACATGGAGGGTAGAGATGATGCACATGTCACAGCATGTACCAAATCCGCTAAAAAAACAGCGTAAGAGAGAATTTAAACAATACCTTGATTCCATTCCGTGGCGAATCTTCAGACGCTCCTCCAAATGTAGGGGTGGACAGATCCAATCTCGTCGGAGCAATACCGTCAGTGGGCGTAAGAAATCCTCCACCAGGTACCGGCGTAACCGGGAAGCCGGACCAGCTCTTCCCACCACCAGGAGCTCCAGAGTTATTTGCGTCTTCCAGCAATGCAAGGCATTCCTCCCAGTCCTTGACTTGCTCCTGCTCAGAACGTCACCATCATAGGAGTCCAGTGAGGCTTCTCGTCCGCCTGCCAGTCCTACACCACATCAGAAGGGAACCCAGAATTCAAAAGCGACCGATTCAATTAAGCTACAGTACCGATGTTCAGAATGCTCAGTGTGTGAGCACTACTCAAGATACAAGTCATACGCGCCAGACCTTGCTAGAAGAACGAGAAAACAAACGAAGAAACAAAAGCCGTTCAAGAAAATAAGAAGTGAAAAGGTTTACTGACCAAGCATTTCGCTGCAAGAAGTCGAAAGCGGGTGTCGGAATGGACTAGATCCTCGGCCCGCAAAAGCCTCAATGCTCGTCTGAATTGCCGCGAACCATAGTAGCATCGCGCCAAGAGGAGGACGTCCTCAGGATCCTGAGAGGATAAGCAAGCGAGCTTATCGGCGAGAAACGAAGCGGAGCTGATCAGGTTCTTGTCCAGGCAATCGCGGACGATCCCACGAAGGCAATCGAGCTCTAACATGGCGACAAAGAATCCTAGACCAATCGAAGAATGTTGTATTAAGATAGGGAATTCATAATACAAACGATACGCTTCGGATGAACTGCAGCGGAAACCACAGCAGATTCAATGGTGCTGATTCAGATGAGGATGAAAAATTCTGGATCACAGCAGATTCAATGAAGGAGAGCTGGATCACAGCAGATTCACAGCCGAACTGAGCCCAGATGAAAATTTGAAGAGTTGGAGCAGGGAAGGATGGATGGAAGGTGTTGAAGACTTCACCACCAAAGCATCTGGGCCACAACTACACTCCATTTTTGAATTAGAGAACTCGTTATGCGAACAAAGGCTTGTCAATAACGGATGACGGGATGTATTGGTTGGTACTGATCATTGTATGGAGAATTTTCGCCCAGTGTCTTACGCTGATATGTAAACTCATATTTTTACATGCAGTGTACCGAGAACAAGCGACCGTTGCACGAACTTGGGATTGTCAGGGCGGGAAACGGGCTGTTTCTCGGCGAGTCGGGGAAGGTGCGATGACAGTGACACATCGCCATAGCAGTCAGAACACCGATCTTGCGCGGCGGATCCCCTTTCCGCTCCGCCAAAACGTTCCGCGGGTGCAATATGTTGGAGGTTCCGCATCTGTTTCCGCCTATTTCCCGCTCCGCGGAAGGTTGCAGTCGGTTTGGTTGTTCCGGCGTGGCACTCACGTCAATGACACATCCGCGTTGTCCTCTGGCTGTTCGTCAAGCATTCCGTTCCGTTTTACCCAACCAACCAACCAGCAACGACACATTCCGTCAGTCAACCCAGCCAGAGTGATTCCATCAGGCAACTGAGAGTCTCTCATTCTGGAACCACCTCACAGATTGTGTTCTGATGCATTCATTGACCTCCATTAATTTCAGCTAGCTAGTCGGTTATTGAAGGAACTACCTCCTAGACTTCTGTTTGCAGCCTCCGAGGTATCCAATCACACCGCTTGACACCTTACGAGCTAGCGTCTGCTCCGCAATATCTCATCGGACTTCTTGAGCTGCCGCCATATAGTGTGCAGTCACCTTTCTTGCTAGCGTCAACGAAGTCACCATGAATCCTGAGTAGTGGGTATTCAAGCAGTTGTTGGAGCTCGGAACCGTTTTAAGAGTAATAAGTTGCTGATAGATCTCTGGATATTTTGTTTGTGCAGTGACTACCTGTTCAAGCTTTTGTTGATTGGCGACTCTGGTGTTGGCAAATCGTGCCTTCTCCTCCGTTTCGCCGTAAGGATCACATATTGCTTCTAGGTTCATTATATTTACATGATTCGTTACTCTATAATCAGTGATATCTGTATCCCGTTATTTCATCAGGATGACTCGTATTTGGAGAGCTACATCAGCACCATCGGCGTGGACTTCGTGAGTTGTTATTCTCGTTTTCACTTGAGAATCTTGTTTGGCTGTGCCATCTGAGGCTGATAGTAGTCCCCTTGAACGCGATACAGAAAATCCGCACTGTGGAGCTCGATGGCAAGACGATCAAGCTTCAGATCGTAAGTTCCGTCAGGTTAGATTCAATAGTGAATGCTATCTTCAGTTGCTGTTCTAATGCTGAACCTTTTTTTTTTGCAGTGGGACACTGCAGGACAAGAACGCTTCAGAACCATCACTAGCAGTTACTATCGTGGAGCACATGGAATTATTGTAAGTGACTCGCTTATGTTAAGTGTCGGGAGATAGTGCATATGTCGTTTGCTGACTTATTTACCGATTACTATGGCGCAGGTTGTCTACGATGTTACTGATCAAGAGAGTTTCAACAACGTGAAGCAGTGGTTGAACGAGATTGACCGATACGCTAGCGAGAACGTCAACAAGCTGCTTGTTGGTAATAAGTGCGATCTTACCAACAAGAGAGTCGTGGATTATCAAACGGCAAAGGTGAGACCTACCTATATGAAATCTTCTCTCTACATGAGTCGTGAGAACCTAGCGACTTCTTGTTTCTGCTTCCCGCAACTCTTATTTCCCCATATTCTACAGCATATTATCAGAAAATACAGCATAAACAAGGAAATATGAGTTGGATGCACTGGCTTCATTGCGAACTGGGTTGCTCATGGGTAGCATATGATACCCTGCCATTGTTTTAATTGCGTCTTCCCTCCGTCTATCCTGAACTGCTGGCAGGCTTTTGCTGATGAGATTGGCATCCCCTTTTTGGAGACTAGTGCAAAGAACGCCACAAATGTAGAGCAGGCTTTCATGACTATGGCAGCTGAGATTAAGAACAGGTATGTAGTTCAATTACAGTATGTTCCACCTGGCATGTCTTCATTGCCCGAATTTGACGTTGCCGTCATTCCCGCTACTTACGTTTACCTCTATCACCTTCTCCATTTTGTTGTTCCCTTTGCCCACCCACCAATACCTTCAACATCCGTTTCCTGTCCCAACCCCCCCCCTTCCCCTCCCCCCTCTCCTCCCTCCCTCCCTTCCACTCCCCTCCTCCCTGCTCTTATTTCTTCAACCCCCATTGTTTCGGCCCTGCCGTTTTTCTCTTTTCGTGCAACATTGGAGGTCTCTTCCCGCCCCATAACCATTTTCTCCCCAACTCTCTTTCCCCTTCAGAGTGCTCCCCCCCCCCCCCCCCCCCTCTCTCACTTTTTTCCCCACAATTAACCCCCCCTACTTCTCCCCCCACCCCTCCCAACCGCCTTTACTGCTGCCTCTTCACGAATGTTTGAATGCTGTATTGGATGTTTTTTGTGCAGGATGGCGAGCCAGCCAGCATTGGGCAACAAGACAGGACAGACCGTTCGTCCAGGAGAGAGCAGGCCCCTGCAACAGAAGAGCAACTGTTGCTAGCTACGGCTAGCTCTTACACTACTACCTATAGTATGGTTAGCATCCACTAGACATTCTTGCTGGTTTCTTTGAATGTAATTTCTTACAGTCAGCGGGAACCTGAGCTAGACTTGTAGAACACTAGCCTTTGCTACTTCCTGTTGACTCCTCAATATATACATCCCAAGGAAATGCTTCAAAGTGCATCTACCGTTTTAAAGAGTGGAGCAGCACATTCCTGACTAATGTACTGGTAGCATGGGTGCAAATGTACGTAGATGGCAGTTTACCTTGCTTTCGATTAAAACCAGGGTACACATTCAACGCGACTCCAGGCTAAATTTTGGGCGGCATGTTTGCGGGAACTGCTGATTGGTTGACGAGTAGCGAATAAATAGTTGAGAATGGGCGAGCATGGGGCTTTTCGTCCGTGAGAGATGAGGCTTGGCAGGGGAGAAATTGATAACACTTGGATCTAGAAATTGGGGATCAAGGGGAGGGCAACTGGGTTAGCGGAAAGGGGAAAGGGGGTGAGACGATATTGTGGGGGAAGGGGAAACAATTTCGGTGGGAGCGGAATAGGTATGGGGAGGGGGGAAACGAATTGGCGGAAGCACATTCGATGACTTCGGTATACATTTGCCAAATCTCGAGGGTTCAAATGTTCACCTGCTGAAGCGAACACTCCTCCCAGATATTCCTAAATCACTGAGTAACCCCGAGGTCAAAGGTTAACCTTTGACAGAAATCCAATTGAATGTGCACCCTGGTTTTAACAAAGACATGGATTCTAAGCGATTTGAAATTCAACCATGAGAACACATGGCAAATCAAAGGCCAAACCCACCGGCATTTGCACTATGCCGGCACAGGCACAGGGACAAGCGCAGGGCTCATGACCATCGGTTTGGCTACCGCCACAACCTTATCTTCTCCAAAGAGATACTCCACGAGGGTGAGGGCGAATTCAAATGCCGTCCCCGCCCCTCGACTCGTCACGATCGGACCATCAACCACCACACGTGCCGGCACTGCAGATTGATCTGCAAGCTGGTCAGAAAGGGACGGGTGTGCTGTGGCCTTCTTCCCTTGGAGTAACCCCTTAGACTGGAGCACCACAACCGGGGCAGCGCATATGGCTGCACACAGCCGTCCGTCAGCCACTTGCTCACGCAGAATGCCGTCCAGCAGGATGTTGTCGCGAAGGTGGTTCACTCCGGGAATACCCCCAGGAACGAACACAAGGTCAAATTTATGCCCCGCAGCAGCCAAGTCAGTGAGGGTGGTGTCAGCTGTGAGGTTCGTCCCACAACGCAACTTCAGATCAAGAGAATCGCTAACAGAAGCAACGGTTACTTTCGCTCCTGCACGCACAAGCACGTCAATGGGAACAACCGCCTCCACATCCTCTGTTCCGTCAGCCACTGCCACCAGCACTGTCACCTCCTCCCCTTCCTTCTTCGGCTTCGGAATCTTATCCTTATTTTCCACCACACGCAGCAGATCTGATCCGTCCCCCTTTGCAGCTACAATTCCTGCGGCTACTTCAGCTGCTTTCGCCTCCCCAAACAGCCGAGTTGCCAGCGCAAGCGCAAACTCAATCGCAGTGCCAGGGCCACGGCTGGTAACCACGTTACCGTCTTCCACGACTCGAGATGCGGTAACCGCTGGGTCAACGCCAGTCAACTTATCGGAGAAGGCCGGGTGGGCTGTGGCTTTGGTGGTGGCAGTCAGGACGCCCCACGATTGGAGGGCCACCACAGGGGCGGCACAGATGGCAGCCACGGACGAATGGGGGAGCGACATGTGGCGCTCCACGATCTGCTTGAGGGGTGCGCTGTCCCTCAGGTACTCGGCGCCTGGCATGCCTCCTGCAGGAGAGAGAGGGGGAGAAGGAAAGGGAGACAGGGGAAGAAAAAAGTTAGGCACCTCAACAACGTGCTTGAGGGGAGCACTGTCACTCAGATGCTCCGCGCCTGGCATGCCGCCTACGGGTTTCTAACCCCATATCCTACGGTTCGTGACCCCCTGTCACTTGGAGTATCTTTTCCACTTAAATGTCCCATGCCACTGCTGTAGCCAAGATTCCTCGTTGTTTTTTCTTCTTTAAAGAAACACCAATTCCTCGTTTGAAGCAAATTACCTGGCAAGACGACGAGGTCGAAATCCGTATCCACGACCGACGTGATGACGTCATCCGCGACGAGCTTCACTCCGCGCGACGCGACGATCGCCTTCTGCGGCTCGACGGACGCAACCACCACCTCGGCTCCCGCACGTCGAAGCACATCCACTACAATCACACTCTCCATCTCCTCCGTCCCAGTCGCGATCGGTACAAGCACTTTCTTGGCCTTCGCGGCGCCCCCGCTATTGTCACCCTCGCCGGCCATGGCTCTTGGGGAGAAACCGGTGGAATCGGTTGAGGCGACGTGTGCGGAACGCGCTGATGAGCGCGCAAAGGCGGAAGGCAACAGAGTCGAAAAACTCCTCCGCGGAACAAACGCCGGGGGGGAAGTTTGCGCGGGGATGAGTCTGGGGAAACAGGCGGTAGGTCTCCTGGAAGACCGGGTAAAGCGGGAGAGGGTGACACCCGATTGGTGGGAACGGGAGGACTCAATCCGAGAAGCGCACCGAGCAGCAGTGGTGGCGACAGCGGTAGCGGAAGCGGATGCTGCGGCGGCAACAACGGCGGGCATGGTGGAGGAGACAGAAAGACCCACAATGAGAATTTCAGGAAGGATATTTTGAAGATTCTGGATTCTTCTGTGGGTGAAAGATTTGGCCTGGAGTTCGACCCCGTTATTGCCTCACCTGCCGCAAGGTAATGCGCTCATGTGGTTAGATCGATTTTTTTTGTAAAGGATAATGAATATTTTCATCCCTATGTACATTGTTTGTTTATTTTTAAAGCTAGAGACTTCTAGAACCTTACGAAGACACTATATCGAGTGACTTTTTACGAATGCAGCCTTCCCGCATATCTCCTAGATTTCATCCTGCCGACTTCTGACGACTTTGTCATATGATCGAATAGGATCAATCAGCCATGAAGTATAAGCGTTAGTTTCAAAGTTTTACGACGCGAAGTCGCAAGTGCAGGCTAGGCTGCTGTTGGCTTCCCTTTCAATCGACTCTGATCCATTAAGAAGCGAAGGCTAGGTTACACATTTCGCGATGGCGAAAAAAGATCGGCGAGCATCGCAAACTGCCAAGCCGCAGAAGAAGGTGAAGTCGCCAGCGGAGATCACGGCGGATAAGCTTCGGTACCACAGAGAATTGGACTCGAGATGGGCTGTCATTCGCGTAAGCTCAACATTCGCCGTTCCTTATCATTGCCATACCTTATCATTGCCGTAGTTCACCTTTCTTACTCTTCTTCGCGATCGTCATCGTTTCACCGGCAACACTGATCCATTCCGTACCACAAAGAATCAAACTCGCGTTCATCTATTGTTGTCGTAAGCTCGTTCCTCGTTTCATTTTGTTTTTCTTACGCATTTTCGGATTGTTGGAATGTTGTGTTTCCCCCGTGAACCAGCTTCTTTGCCGTCCTTCGTTACACCCCGTCCTCCATATCAGGAAAACCGGGTCGAGTATTTTCGCGGAAAGGATTTCGCAGACCTTCTTCGCAAGCACCCCGATCTCGCGACGCCCTTGATTCCCGCGGAAGATGCCGCGAGCCTTCGCAAGCCGATCGAGGAGGCCGTGTTTCACGCGCTCGTGGAGGCTCAGCTGCTGGTGCGGTGCGATCGAGTTGTGAAGACCCTCAGACCCGGCCGAAAAAAGCTCTCCAAGTGGCCGGCCCGGCTGGACTTTCACCAGGTACTAACATTCAGCTTTCTGGGCTGGGCTTAGGTGCAGAATTTAGGATTTCAATATGGGGATTTTGAAGGCTCAGCTGGTGGTGCAGTGCGATTAAGAGTGGTGAAGACCCTCAGACCCGGCCGGAAGAAGCTCTCCAAATGGTCGGCCCGGCTTGACTTTCAGCAGGTACTCATTTCTGGGCTGGCTGAGGCGCAAGGGGCGAGGGGGAAAGGCTGGTTTTGAACCTTAGCTCAGGGGGTGCCTAGAGGTTGGTGGATGCTCAGATAGTGGTGTGGTGCGATCGAGTGGTGAAGATTCTCAGACCCGGCCGAAAGAAGCTCTTGAAATGGCCGGCCTGGCTTGACTTTAATCATACTCGTTTCGGGGCCTGCTGAGGTGCAAGGGGTAGGGGGCAAATGGTGGTTTCACTATTTGATCTCTCCCTGTCCCTTGACTCTATTCGTTTGTTTCTCCCACCTCCCCACCTCCTCACCCTCCATCTCCCCACTCTCCCTTCCCAATGTGTGGATCAATCATTCACTCACGGTGGGCGATGGCGTCTACGCCTGGATGTACGAGCGCCAGCAGCCTGTGTGGCAGACCATCCTCTCCTTCCTGCTCGTCTTTCCCCAGCTCATTCTTCCTCTCTGCCTCTCTCCGTCCTCGTCTTGCCAGGATCAAGCATTCACGGTGGACGATGGCTTCTACGCCTGGATGTACGAGCGCCAGCAGCCCATATGGCAGACCATCCTCTCCTTCCTTCTCCCGGTCTTCACAGTCGCCTGCTGCCTCTTCCCCGTCTTCCCCCACTGGTGCAAGCTCGCTGTACTCTACTTCCTCCTGGGGCTTATCGCCCTCATCTTCCTGCTGCTGTTTGGTAAGTGAAACACTTAGCGGTGGTTATAAGTGGTTAGAAGTCTTCACTGTCGCCTGCTGCCTCTTCCCCGTCTTCCCCCACTGGTGCAAGCTCGCTGTTCTCTACTTCCTCCTGCGGCACATTGCTCTCATCTTCCTGCTGCTATTTGGTAAATGAGGCTCCTAGCATGAGGTAAGGTTTGATGCTCCTAGAGGTCTTCACTGTCTCTTCCCCGTCTTCCCCCACTGGTGCAAGCTCGCTGTACTCTACTTCCTCCTGGGGCTTATCGCCCTCATCTTCCTGCTGCTGTTTGGTAAGTGAAACACTTAGCGGTGGTTATAAGTGGTTAGAAGTCTTCACTGTCGCCTGCTGCCTCTTCCCCGTCTTCCCTCACTGGTGCAAGCTCGCTGTTCTCTACTTCCTCCTGCGGCACATTGCTCTCATCTTCCTGCTGCTATCTGGTAAGTGAGGCTCCAAGCATGAGGTAAGGTTTGATGCTCCTAGAGGTCTTCACTGTCTCTTCCCCGTCTTCCCCCACTGGTGCAAGCTCGCTGTTCTCTACTTCCTCCTGCGGCTCATTGCTCTCATCTTCCTGCTGCTCTCTGGCAAGAGACATTTGGCGTGGGGTTAGGTTGTCTGTAAGAGGTTTTTACAGCAGGCTGCCTGGTACATTCTGGCGGTAAAAATACCGAGTTTCGAGTCTGTGGACAAGCGCCTGTGGTTCTTCCCCAGCATCCTAAGAAGGCTGTTTATGGAACCAACTCGCTTCACACCCACCCATTCACATACTCCCCCTTCCCACCCTGCCCCTTCTTCCCTCGTTGCAGTGCGGGTGGCGGTATTCGGAGTCATCTGGCTGGCGGTGGGCAAGCGCGCCTGGTTCTTCCCCAGCATCCTAGCAGAGGAGGGCTCGCTGGCAGAGCTTTTCCGCTTCTGGCCGGATAAGGACGACCAGCCGCCCGCAAAGATCACCACGCGGCTCGCGGTGGCTGTGATGCTGGGGTTCACCTTCTGGCTCATGGTCACCTATGCTCCCGATCAAGAGCAACGAGCCAAGTAAGCACCTTCTTTATGTGTATGCAATTGGTTTCTTTTCCTCGCACTGTTGTTGCTCTTTTAGCTTTGCTGTGATGGTGGGGTTCACCTTCTGGCTCATGTTCACGTACGCTCCTGACCAAGAGCAACGAGCCAAGTGAGTGTTGTTGTCTCTGCTTTTTTCTTCTTCTTCTTCCCCCTTTATTTCTTTGATTTCATTTTGCGTGTGCTCTGTTGTCACTTACACAGATATCTTGTCCAGATATCACACAATGTCATGTATGCTCTGTGCTGTGCGTTGAGTGGTTTGGGCTTTGTATTTGTTTCAATCTTACTGTATCTTGCCATTTTCTTTGTCCAATTGTTACACTGTTTCCTGTTTTGTTATGTTTTCCTGTTGCAGGTACCAGAAGAAGGTGTCCAACATCATTGACGACGTCTTACAATGGAAACCGCAGATGCTTGCAGGGAAGACAACGCCAGCCGCCCCTGTCAATGCCACATCAGCAAATCAGACCTCTGCTAACGCCACTGCTGACAATTCAACAACTCCCAACGCAAGCGCAGAAGCAGCTGATGTCAAGACAGGTGCCACCAGTGGTGCCAGTACTGAAAACAGTGGCAGCTTCGATGCCAGTGCTGGCAAGGAGGATGTGTCTGAACAGTCTTCTGGTGGGGACCAAAGTGGGCAGGCTCGCACTGAAGGTGGTTCTACGACAGGGAGGGAGGCAGGTGCTTGACTCGGTTGTGGTTAAATACTTTCAGACCAATTTAGGTACATATAGTTGATGGCAGTGTAGATTGGTATAAATTCAGTTATTTTTTTGTGATCCTCTAAGTTCTCGAACTTTCTGGTGCTCGCGAAGGGTTGGAACACTCTCTCGCAACATTTGTTACTTCTCGTGTCTCTCGCAATCTGTGTATGGCTTTCGTTCTCTTCGCCTGCTACTCTCGCACAACTTCCGCCCACACACCCAAGAATCCTCCTCCCTCTGCTCCAGCATTCTGCAGGCACCGTTCCAAAGATCAGCAGTCGCACCAGTCTCTCCGCTTCGCCTCATAACAACTTCACCGCCTTTCACCTCGTTCTGTCAGCTCACTTCGGACCTTTCCGCGCGACGCGTGTTTGTACTTTGCATACACCATGTGAGTAGCGTGATCCGTGGAGAGTATTTTTCCGCTCCTTCGTATGTAGTAGGTTGTGCTTTAACGGATTCTCGCTCGAATCGTGTCTGACGATCTTGTGTGCCACGTGTAGGGCTGACGACGAGCCTGTGGATCCGAAGCCCGAGATTGAGGAGGGGTGCCGGCCGAAGTGTGTGAAGCAGCTACTCGCGTACGAGGTGAGACTTTCCTTCTCCCGCAAAGCATCGCTTCTTCAGTATACCTGAAGCTGCTTAGTTCGTCATGCGGTTGACCTACGATCGCAGGCGCATAGGAATGTCGCAGCTTCTTTTTCAACTTCTAGCCTTCCTTATCTGTCCAACGTGTCGGCTTAGAGGCTATGAGCTCCCTCTGGTCTCTGATCTGCATTGCGTAGGCTTGTGTGAAGAGGATCGAAGGCGACGAGACTGGGGAGAAGCATTGCACTGGCCAGTACTTCGACTACTGGGCGTGCATTGATAAATGCGTGAGTTTCTCGTTTTCTTGCAAATGATTTGGAAGTGGTTGGGCTTGTCATTTGTCTTGTGTTCTGCTATCTAGTAAGCTATTACCTGATCGAACCCTTTTTTTGTGCATTCTGACAACTTGTGCAGGCGGCTCCTAAAATCTTTGCCCAGCTAAAGTAATACTCTCTTACAACTACTGTATTCGCAGTGAACTTGGCTAACTTGGGGATGGTTTGTTGGTGGACTCAAGAGAGGCCTTGTCATTGATATTCTTTCCTGTATATGCAGTGGATGCCCAGGCAGGCAGGCAGTCCTTGAACTATGGACATTTCCCTCACTCACATCTGCTCAACGTACAGCAAGAAATACAGAAGTCTGACAATGTGTGGATGTCACAACCGTAGCTGACAACGTGTACGGAAGAAAGCCTAGCTGAACATGTAATCTTCATGAAAAGGCGCACTGGAGGGAATGCTGGAAAATGGATGAAGCTTTGGCCTTATTAATAATCTTAAACTAACCTCACTAACTTACAGATGATCTGGTGTATACCATACGATTCAACAATCGTAGTTACCGAAACCCTTCAGAGCGGATCATTGCAAGACTCCATTCCACTTCACAGCGATTACCGCTCCTCCTCTATCCCTAGCCCTTCACCTTCCCGCGTCTCTCCGAACCAAACGTAATTATAAACTATCTCACACAGACAAATCAGCTTCCTTCGATATATTTCATTTCCTTGGGACTTCCCAGGCCCTCAGGGTGAATCATACTCGTGTAGCATCCATTTTCGTAGCTGGTGGAGCGCGATAGTATGTATGGGTCTCAGCCGACCTGTCTTAGTCCCTTGTAGTGGAGCTGAGTCTGGCCTGAATTGGTGATACTCAGTGCGAATCGGTGCGACTTGGTGCGACTCGGTGCGAATCGTTCCGGGGGTCACCATGTCTAAGCGTGAGCTGCACCAGAAGTTATTTGAGGAGTTTGATTACAAGGAAAAGGCGGGATCTGCGTGGAGCCATAACTACTTGAATCAGAAGCCATGGCATCCGATGTCGTATCCCAACCAGCGTCGCAAGTGGATTGCGGAGCAGATGCACGGCGTGCAGGACAAGCGACTGACCGAAATAGAAAAAGAGGTACGCGTTATGAGATGTTACGTTACTGGTGCATTTGCTCATGGATCGCTGACGACAAGCGATTGATCGAAATCGAGAAAGAGGTTATCTACAGAAAGGTGTACGTGTTATGAGACGCCTTGATTCTCGGGTTGATGCGGGTAGACACCGCGCCGTGTTCCAAACACTGGGTAGGCATTGTCTTTTTAGGCATCTCAACTTGCACACCGTCTACTGCCGTCTGCTGTTTCCTTGTCTCCTTTTCCCACGTCTCTGAAAGGCACAGGCGATGCATTCCGTGTCGTTCCTCTACTTGAAGGCTCTTGGGTACAACGCCGAGAGCCAAGAGCCGAGACTGCCTTGCCTCCCTGCTTCCCTTGCCTCCCTGTGTCCCAGGTTTGCCTCATCCACTCTTGCTCCCTTTCCCTTGCCTCCCTGTGTCCCAAGTTTGCCTCATCCACTCTTGCTCCCTTTCCCTTGCCTCCCTGTGTCCCAGGTTTGCCTCATCCACTCTTGATCCCTTTCCCTTGCCTCCCTGTGTCCCAGGTTTGCCTCATCCACTCTTGCTCCCTTTCCCTTGCCTCCCTGTTTCCCTTCACTTCCGGTTTTCCGTGCCTCCCATTCCCTTCCCTTTCTCTCCCTGTTCCTTGACTCCCGATTGCAGTTCCAGAAGGAGCAGGAGTATTTCAAACAAACGGCGCTGCTCTCAAAGCAACAAAAGGCCAAAGCAGAGGCGATGCAGTCCGTGTCCTTCCTCTACATGAAGCCTCCCGGGTACAACGCTGAGAGTGCGCGGGCGGCGGAGCTTGCAGAGGAGGAGAGGGCGAAGCAGGAGAACGAGGGGAAGATGGTACTGGAGGGGGGAGGAGTGGGGGAAGGAGGCGGAGGGGAAGGTGGGGAAGGAGAGGGGGGAGGAGGGGAGGATGGGGGTATGGGTGCGGATGGAGCGTTGGTGGTGGCAGAGGCAGGGTGAGTCTGCTCTTTCATTCCTTTCTTTCTTTTCCTCTCAACTCAGAACAGACTCAGAACTCACCTGAGCCTGATGAGAGTTTGCAGCATGTTTCAGTGTTTAACTATTTACGTATTACCTATATTGAAGCCGAGAGCCATGGATGTCTGACCCCTGCAGCCTGCCCCATCCCTTGTGCTTCCCTGTACCGCCCCCACCTCTGAAGCGCCTTGAGTCAGCTCTCTGAGACTCCTCAAAAGAAACTACTCGAGCCCCCTTGAGATTGTTTGTTTGTTTGTTTGTTTGTTTGTTTGTTTTTGTTGTTGTTTTTTATTATTAATATTTCCTCGATGAATGGGCGTGTTACCCCATTCCACGCATCCCCCTGTACCATCCCATTCTCGGCAGCACTGAGCCGGCTGATATCGACGGGGGCGAGAAGAAGAAGAAGCCCCGAGCCACGGACGTCTGTGTCTTACCCCATCTTCATTTTCTTGTTCCATCCCCTTCCTTTCTGGCAGCACTGAGCCGCCTGATACTGACGGGGGCAAGGAGCAGAAGAAGAAGAAGAAGCCCCGAGCCACGGACGTGTTTGGTCGAGCCGTGCCCACCGGAGACGACTTTGAAGTGCTCAAGAACGCGCCCAGGTGAAAGGGAGAGCTGTTTTAGGCGCTGTAAAAGTTATCATATATATAACGAATCGTGTGTGAGCTAAACATTTTCAGGTGCTTCATATGTATTCTCTTGGCCCGCCGCTCCATTTCCCTTTCCTTGTAACTCTCAGGATGGACACAGGCATCATTGGTCGGTTACGCCCGTTCGGGCTCGAGCTGAGGAACGTCAAGTGCGGGCAGTGCGGGGGGTGTGTGTGTGTGGGAGGTGTGTCATCAGATGTTCGCCCCCCTCTCCCTTCCACTCCCACACTTCTCAGGATGGTCACTGGCATCATTGGCCCACCGCGCCCATTCGGGCTCGAGCTGAGGAAAGTCAAGTGTGGACGGTGTGGGGGGAGGTGTAGGAAGTGTGTCATCACATGTTCGTCCCCCCTCTCCCTTCCACTCCCACACTCACCAGGTTGGACACAGGAATCATAGGCCGGCCGCGCCCCTTCGGGCTCGAGTTGAGGAATGTCAAGTGCGGGCGGTGTGGGGGGATAGGGCACAGCAGTGGCGAAAGGGAGTGCCCTCTGTTTGACTCCGTCACTGAAAACGACCTCAAGCGCCAGCAGCGGGAGGACCCGCTCTCTCACATCCTCGCCCTCAACCGCCCCCAGGTATGCCCCCTGCCAGGCTCCTCTTCTTGGTATGCCCCCTGCCAGGCTCCTCTTCTTGGTATGCCCCCTGCCAGTCTCCTCTTCTTGGTATGCCCGTTGCTGCTATGCTGGATACCGCCCCTTCTTTCCCCCATTGTTGGGTGCTTTACTGCCTTACTACCAACGGATGTGACCCCCTTTTCCACATCCTCGTCCTCAGTCGCCCCCAGGTACGTTCTGTGCTGCCCTTTTTACCTCCATTCTCCCCATCCATCTGAAACCTTTTTTTCTCAAGCTCTCCTCTCCCCCCCTTCCCCACTTGCCTTCTTTCCTGTTTTTCACAGCCGTTTGGGTGGAAGCTGAAGGAGCAAGGGGCGGGCGGGATGAGCCCTGTCCGGGTCAAGTCAAGCCCGCACACCATGCACCTTTCCCCAAACAATTTCCCCCTCATCCCTTCCTTTCTTGGCCCCTTTCTTGCCGTCTCCCCTCAGCCGTTTGGGTGGCAGCTGAAGGAGCAAGGGGCCGGCGGCATGAGCCCCGTCCGGGGCGGCTTCAAGCCAAACGATGCCAACCAGCAGATCCTGCCGCCCAGCGACGACGAGAACGAGGGCGTGTTCGACCAGTATGGGGGGTTCCTCCTTGGAGGAGAGGCGGATGTAGCAGCATTGGCTGCAGGAGGGGTTGGAGGTATTGGAGGGGGAGGGGTGCTTATGCCTGGTCTTGGCTCTTCTGTGTTAGACTCGCTGACGAAGCAGCAGCGCAAGGAGTTGAGCAGGGCTTTAAGGATGAAGGAAAAGGAGGAGCGGAGGAAACGGAGGAAGAAGAAGGAGAGGAGAGGTGGGGGGGAGGGTAAGAGTAAGAGCGGGCGGGAGAAGAGGAGGAAGAAGGAGAAGAAGAAGGGACGTGGGGGGCGGAGGAGCCGTCACCATCGCAGAAAATCAGATTCTGATTCATCGTCTGATACAGGATCGGATTCTTCAGAATCGGAATCAGATTCTGAATCGAGCTCAGGGGATGAGCAGACTGCTAGCTCTAGTGACAGCAGTAGGAGTGAGAGCAGTGGGAGTGACAGCAGCTGCAGCGACAGGAGTAAGAGGAAGCGGAGACGAGGATCGAAGAGAAAGAGGTCGCATGAGAGGAAGGGGAGGGAGAAGGAGAAGCAGAGGAGACGTGAGGAGGGAGGTCCAGGGCCTAGGGAGGAGAAGAAGGAAGAAACAAGCAAGAGTAGGGTAGAGAGCAGGGTAGAGATCAAGATAGAGAGCAGGGAGATCCAGACGGGTGCTACTGCTGATGCTGGTGAGCGTCATAGTTCGAGGATAGAGGACGAGGATGGAGAGGAGAAGGGGAAAGAGGAAGCAGGCGCAGGTTAGAGGGGAAGGAGGTGAAGGGGCGTGCTGGTGGAAATGGTGGTGAGAGTGGTGGAACGAGGTGGGATGATCAGGGTGGAGAGGGAAGAGGAGCAAGGATGAGCAGGCGCGGGACAGAAGGGAAGGAGGTTAAGGGGCGTGCTGATGGAATTGCTGAGGGTGGTGGAACGAGGTGGGAAGATGAGGTTGGGGAGGAGCGAGGAGGAAGAGAAGGGATGGATGGTTACAGGGAAAGGATGTTGGAACGGATGGGGAAGGATGGGAAAGAGAGGAGCAGGAAAGAAGGGAGAGGGGAAAAGAAGAGAGAAGAGGGTTGGTCGAGAAAAGAGGAAAAGTGGGGAGTGGAAGGGAAGAGGGAGCATCGTGGGGAAAGAAGAGAGGGGAGGGGCTGGAGAGTGGAGGAAGGAGATAAAGGGCGAGAGGGTGACAGGGATTCTGGTCGAGGGCGCAGGGGCAGGGAGGAGCATGAACGGAGGAGAGAGCGAGTTGATGTGAGGGAGGGGCGGGACAGAAGTTAAGGTAGGTGGTGACAAAGGCCCATCATGACTTTCTTGTATAGGGGATATGTGTAAAACATTTTTTTTCATGTCGTTTCTCGATTCTATATCCTGGGCTTCCCAACTTCTCTGATGAAGTTGTTGTCAAGCTGTAAGGTATGAAGTAAAGAAAATATTAGCTGTTTGGATGCAAGCAGCTGGGACTTGAAAGCCGTGTTGGTATTGTTAACGAACCATTTCTTAATGGTGATCCATCGCTGTCTCAGCTGGGGCAACTTGGCTGATGTTTTCCCCAGTGCTGAATCTGTCTGCCGTGTCTGCGCAGCACCGTCGATTCTCCTGAATCTGGGCGGATTGAGTTAATCTCGCTTGTTCCCAGCTTTCGATCCCATCACTCCAAAATTCGACCAATCACTATTCGTGAGTCCAGCTGGACCTAGGCCCTCCATCAGTGATCTTCGTCTCCAGGCTGGCTGCCCGTTGTCGCCGTCCTGCTTTGTTGGCCATCAATGGTTCTGGGGCATCTGGTTACAGAATACTGTAGTTCTGTGGCTGGAGAAGTTCGGCTTCGCCAGGGGGTTTGTATGGCTACCCGCCCACGCACGACACCTCGGCATTGTTCATGCCTCGAGACATCCGACGGCATCCTTGAGGTCTTCCTCACTTCGATGTTCGGTTCCGTAAGTACATAACCCTCGTTATTCAGGGTTGTCTCTTGGTATTGAAGGATCTGTCTCGGTACAGTGTATACATCACTTATGTACATGGTAGTCTGCTGCTCGATGATACAGGACCTAGGTTGTGGAAGTCACACTGAGGGAGGGGAGGGGAGGGACCTCCCCCACAGGCCTTGCTTCCCCGACGCTGAGCTCTCCACTCTCACCGATAATAAATCAATCCATTTCTTGCCAGTTCCGGTCATTTCACCATTTATTTTTTTGCATCTCGTTATTCCTTGGTTAGCGCGTCGCATTTCTTATCTTGCAGCACAGGTAGGCTTCGAGGTTCGCAAGCATGGGTTATCCTTAGCCGCTCTTTTAGGGTTTCAGCCATGTGCTGTGGCTTTCCTATCGACGCCTCGTCATTCACTTATTCAACAATGAATTTTCACGCAAGTGACTCGGGATCTACTCCTACTATTTACGAACACGAGGATTTAAGCTTGCTGGAGTTAGCTGCGAGTAATGACATAGATAGTTTCAGACGAAGCGTCGACATTTTACGGAAGCCATTGACTGAATGCGAGGCATGGTACTGTCGTCAGAATGGCTCCACCAGAATGGCTCTTGCACAGCGAACTCCAGCCATGATTGCTTGCCTATTCGGCAGCCTAGATATTTTGTCATATATTTTTATTGAAGCACGTAGTCGCGGTGTAGAGTGCAACATTAACCAGGCAAGTCCTTCTGATGGCAGCACAGCGCTTCATTGTGCAGCGTTGGGTGGGAGCCCGCGAGCTGTAGAGGTGGTTTCATTTCTTCTCCGTCACGGAGCCGAAAAAGATGCCGTTGACCGTGACGGAAAACGTCCAGTCGACGTCATTGCAGTCTCCCCGAAGCTTCCTCACGTCAAATCCGCCCTGGAGCGCCTTCTCAAATCCTCCTCGTCCGCCGGTCCCGACCCGATCTACCACCGTCCGTCTCCGTTCATCATCGTCCAATCAGCGGCGTCCTCGTCTCCACCGTTCGAATCCCCATCATCGCCCAACTCCCACTCCGCGTCGCCCAACATGCTCTCTCCCGCAACCTCGAGCAGCAGCGATCTCTCTTCTAACTCCACCGGACTCGACGTGCTTGCGCCGACCACTCCATCCACTGGCGCGGGTGTAGTCGACTCATCCATGGCGGATATGAAAAGCAGCGTGTACGCTTCGGACGAGTTTCGGATCTACAGCTTCAAGGTGCGGCCGTGCTCGCGCGCGTACAGCCACGACTGGACGGAGTGCCCGTTCGTGCATCCGGGGGAGAACGCCCGCCGGCGCGATCCGCGCAAGTTTCATTACAGCTGCGTGCCGTGCCCAGATTTCCGCAAGGGGTCGTGCAGGAGGGGGGACTCGTGCGAGTACGCGCACGGCGTGTTCGAGTGCTGGCTGCACCCCGCGCAGTACCGAACCAGGTACGGCTTCCCGCCTATGTAAATGCATCAAGCGAGTCAATATTTCCCAACCAGGTATCGCTATATTAGAGGCTCCTTGATGTTTAGTTGCCTCCTTCCTCTGGCATTTTCCTTTGAAGAGTTAGCGAGAACGCCGGGGCCGTATACTCTCGCTGTCTTCCTGCTCGTCCCTGCTCCCGTGCTGCTCCGTTGCCGTTGCTCGGTGTGCTGTCCTTGCACAACACGCTGTAACCTACCTGAACCGTCTTCTCTTTCCTTCCTTCGTCTCTTCCGTTGCGGTCCTTGCGCCGCTCGTCACGCCCTTCGTTCGCCCCGTATTTCGCCTTATCTCATGACGCTCTCCCCCCATTCTCTCCCAGAGCCTTGCTGCGAATGTTCCAACTTAGGTCTCCTCTGCCAAATCTCTCTCTTCCTTTCTTCCCCGCGCCAGGCTTTGCAAGGACGGCACCAGCTGCTCCCGCCGCGTCTGCTTCTTCGCGCACACGTCCGAGGAGCTCCGCCCGCTGCAGAGCCCCGCCGCGGGCACCCCCGCCAACATGTTTGCGCACTCCCCCGCGGACATGCGCGCAGTCACCTCTTCCGCCGACCTCCCCCCGCCTTCCCCCTCCTCCGTCCGCATGATGTCGCAGTTTGCGCCGCATAGCGCAACCAGCTCTTCCCCCACTGCCCCCATCTCCCCATCCATAGCCACGTTTTCCGCGTCCGGAAAGTGCATACCTGGGGGAGGTCAGTCCACAGGCGGGGGGGGACACGGGGGAACTGCGCCGCTGAGCCTGTCGTCGGGGGTAAATCTGATGCGCCTCCGCGCGGCGCTGAATGCGCGCGAGCTGACCATTCCGGAGGAGACTGAAGAGGCGCTAGAGGCGCTGGAAGCTTCCTTGCTGCAGGAGCAGCAGCAGCAGCAGCAGCAGCAACAGGGGCAACAACAACAACAACAACAGCAGGGGCAGCTGCAGCAGCAGAACTCGCCGCTTTCTCGACCAACTCTGCAGCAACGGCAGCAACAGCAACAGCAACAACAACAACAGCATCCGCAGCGTTGGCAGCAGCAGCAGCAGCAGGAGCAGCCCAGATACTGGAACCAGCAGCTGCAGCAACACCAGCAGCTGCAGCACCACTCCCCACCGCAGCACATCCTCCAGGACCACATGGAATCCATCACACGTGCCGACCTAGGCGCAGCGCGAATCACCGGCGACCTCGGCGATCTCTCCCTCAACCGCCAGGCTAGATCCCCGGGCGTGCCTTTCCACCAGCTCCAGGACGCGCCGTCCCGTTATGAGTCGACTCAGAACTCGCTAGGAAACCCGGGGAGGAACCTGGGCGTGAGTTATCAGCTTCAAGACGCGCCCTCCCCCGGCCCTAGTAGGGGCGCGCAGCAGCTTTACAGCCCCTTACGCCCGGACGTTCTCAGTGGGGATATGGGCGGCGTGGGCGGGGGAGTTGCGGGTATGGGAAGTGGCGGAATGGGGATGGGGAGCGCGGGTATGGGGATGGGGGGTGGCGGCATGGGCATGGCAAGTGTAGGTGCAGGGGGGCAAATGGGCGCGAACAGTGTTCCGTCCAGTCCTGGACGATTAGGCATGACATTATCAGGGGAAGGCTCGCGTCTTGGGCCTGTAAGCGGCTCCTCAAGCCCCTCGCTCCCTGCCCCTAGAACTTATGGGGGTGCTGGTAGTGATGCTGCGCCTAGGAGCTATGGGGGTGTTGGTAGTGATGGTGGCATGGGGGGTGCAGATGGGGGGATGTTTGGTGCTCTACCCTCTCCGAGCCAGTCTCCTAGGTATGGTGCTGCTGGGCCTTCTGGCATGTTCCGAGGCGGGTCGGTAGGGCAGGCAGAGCAGATGATTAGGCAGCTGCAGCAACAGCAGCAGCAGCAGCAACAGCAACAGCAGCAACAGCAACAGCAGCAACAGCAGCAGCAGCAACAGTTCAGGAATGAAAGCGAACGGGCATATGCGCTCTCGTCTTCTCCCCAACCCCAGCCAGGTCTCGAATCCTCGTATTTAGGGCATTTGGAAGGCCGTGGATTTACACCCATGTCCCCATCACAGGCCGTGGTGTCGCAGTTTCGCATGACCAATAACCTTCGCCAGCAGCAGCAACAGCAGCAGCCGTCCCAGTACCAGCAGCCGCAACAGCAGCAACAAAACCAGCAGCAGCAGCAGCCCCACTATCAGCAGCACTCACAGTCAGATAGTCCCCTCTCCAGTGCTCCTGCTAGCACACCCCCCAACCACTCCATGTGGGCCTCACCTTCTGGTCTACCCACGTGGCAGTCAGTCCACTCTGTGCCCACCTATGAACCTCGCATGCTGCCACCCCAGGGAGAATTGCCCTCCCATCAAGGAACTAGTCTTTCTAAAGCAGCAGGGGGTCAGCTTATATCAGGGACAGGGAGGGAGGAGGTACAGGAGACGGATGTGGGGTGGGTGGGAAGTCTGGTTCGGGATGGGGGGAGTGGTGCTGGGTTTTGAGATGTCTCAATCCAGGGAAGTCTCAATTCAGGAAGGTCTCAATTCAGGGGGGTAAGGGTATTCAGTCAGGTGTGGCACTGGTGCTGCTGGGTTTTGAGAGATCTAGAAACAGGGAAGGAGGAGATCCAGACGACAGATGTGAAGTGGGTGGGGAGTCTTGTGAGTGATTGGGCTGCTGCTGCTGATTATTGAGATGGATTCGCATTGGTTGGCATGGGTTGGGAGTAGTTGCCAGGGGGCGGGTTGGATGGGCCTTGCCTTGGTAAGGGTGTTTTGGCTGGGAGTCCTGATTTTGAGACGCAGGTATAGCAAGGCATCGGACAGTGGGGTGGGTGGTAAGGGGTGTAATGATCCATAATCGTCTGACTGTTATGTTATCGATACAGCTTGTCCCTTTTTGTGCAGGCTCGGGAGCCTACCTGCTTTCTATCTGCTCTAATATTGCACGCCAGCAGTAACATTCTAATGCTGCTGGCCTATTGATTCATCCGTTGCTAGTGTGGAACTTGTTCCATTCTTTATTCCTTGTTTTCTTGGATTGCATCTTGAGTTGTTTTAGGACCCTTTCCAATTTGTGTTCTTTTACTGATTAACCAAAATAAAGTTTAGGAGCATTATCACTTGAATTACGGTATTTGCATCTGTTACAAAGGGGTGCACTACCATGTAACCATACCCATACTCTTGAGTCAGTGTCACACATGCTGCTAAAACATGAAAGTCAGCCCTGCAGTTGCCTTGCCACAGTCAATCATCCAATCCAATCTCTTGATACATATTGCTGCACCTGAAAGTATCAGATCTGCTTACCGATAAAAAATCACGCCAACCTACTGCATCTCTTCCTGATCATCCAAGGGGAAGAACAGATACGGCCCTGCCCAGTCAGCAATGGGCCTGAATCCAACAATCAGCAAGGCACAGCAGAGGACAAGAGCAGCAACAAGCCCTGCCGTTTCCCCTGGTTGATTAGGCACACAGGCTAGCAACGATGCCGCTGCAGCATAGCTTGCCTGAGAGATGCCCTCAGGAGAAACACCGCCAAAGCTGGCCGCAGCAACAGCAGCTGCAGCTGTGCACGTAATTAAGACCACCCAACGCCTTTCCCTCGCTCCTTCCGTTGCCCATTTCCCCTGGCCTTCGAGCTGTCTCTTACTCTCTGTCTCTGCCTCTCCCTGTGTGTTCCTGCCCTTACTCCGTGTCCCTGTCTCTCCCTGTGCGCCCCTGCCCTTGCTCCGCGCAGCCATATCTGCCACGCTGCTCTGAAGGGCGTCCGCGAATCGCCTGTGTGCTGCTCGTCTCATGGCCCGTTCTGTATCTTCAGATGCTGATGGGCCTGGGGCTGATGTGCTCTGAACGGCATCGCCCTGGCAGGGGATGGGCCACAGGGGAGAGAGAAGGGAGGGCAGCAAAACATACAGCGTGGTCTAAAAACGCCTCAAAGGCCTGCTGTGGGTCCTTTGATGCTGACGTGCTCTGAACGGCAGGCATCGCCCTGGCAGGGGATGGGGCACAGTGGAGAGAGAAGGGTGGGCGGCGAAACATACTGTACAGAACGTTCAAAAAGGCCTCCAAGGCCTGCTGTGGGTCCTTTGATGCGGATGTGCCCTGAACAGCAGGCATCGCCCTGGCAGGGGATGGGGTACGGGGGAGGCTAAGGAAGCTGGAAAAACGAGGTACACAGCTGGTTCAGGCGCCCCAAGTGATGCACCTGATAATCCACCTGATGAGGCAACTGAAGATGCACCTGATCATCCACCTGATAACGCACCTGTTGATGTTGCGGAGTTGAAAATAAAGATACACCTGAAGATGCACCTTATGACCTATTGTTCCCTTAGAACAAATAGCCACCTGAGTGCTTGCTGGGGGAGAGACGACAGCAGCATCTGGTGGCGCCACCTGGGCCACCTGAAGATACTCCTGAACGTCCAGAGGCCGCCCGAACTCCACAGTCACCCGCCTACGCAGGGGAATGGTGCGACCCTTCGGTAGAGCTTCAAAGGTGCCCTGGGTGGGTGGCAGTAGGGCGGAGCATGGGTAGAAGAAAGGGAGCAAAGGATTTCAAAAGTTACTTGAAACTCCACAGTCACCCGCCTACGCAGGGGGGTGTTGCAACCCTTTGACGAAGCTTCAAAAGGTGCCCTGGGTGGGTGGGTGGACGGCAGTAGGGCGCAGTATGGATAAAAGAAGAGGAGCAAAGGAGTTGGAGGATACGCATGAATGTCCAGAGGCGGCCCAAAAGTGACCTGGGGGATGGTTCGACTCTTTGGCGGTGTCTCTTGAATAAATGGCTCGCTTGCTAACTCGCTCGCTCTCTCACTCACTCACTCACTCGTTCACTCGCTCACGCACAGACGACAGCGCTCACCTTGACACACACAGGAACCACGGGCACGTCCAGCCAGCTGCTCTGCCAGCAGCCCCACGCCCGACTTGAAGGGTAATGTCTCACTCATTCGGACAATAGTGCTCACCTTGACGCACACAGGCACGACAGGCACGTCCAGCTGCTCTGCCAGCAGCCCCACGCCCGACTTGAAGGGCTGCAGGGATCCAGTCAAGGAGCGCGTGCCCTCGGGGAATATGAGTACTGCTGTGTTGAAAGGTGCGCCCTCTCTCACCCACACGCTTACTTACCGTATATGGGTGCCCTCACCCACATGCTTACTTACCGTATATGGCTGCCCTCACCCACATGCTTACTTACCGTATATGGCTGCCCTCACCCACATGCTTACTTACCGTATATGGCTGCCCTCACCCACATGCTTACTTACCGTATATGGCTGCCCTCACCCACATGCTTACTTACCGTATATGGCTGCCCTCACCTGCACGCACACAGGCACGACAGGCACGTCCAGCTGCTCTGCCAGCAACCCCACGCCTGACTTTAAGGGTAATGTCTCACTCATTCGGACATTAGTGCTCACCTGCACGCACACAGGCACGACAGGCACGTCCAGCTGCTCTGCCAGCAGCCCCACGCCTGACTTGAAGGGCTGCAGGGATCCAGTCAAGGAGCGCGTGCCCTCGGGGAATATGAGTACTGCTGTGGGGCGGTGGGGGCCGCTGGCTGCCTTGAGCTGCAGTAGGGTGTCGAGCTGGTGGTGGGAAAGGGAGGGAGGGAGGAAAAAGGGTAGGGTAACGGAGAACGAGAGGAAGATGAGGACTGCTGTGGGGCGATGGGGACCGCTGGCTGCCTTGAGCTGCAGTAGGGTGTCGAGCTGGTGGTGGGAGTGGGAGAGGTGGAGGGGAGGGACGAGGGAGGAGAGAGAGAAGAGAGAGATGTTGTGGTGTTGAGAGCAAGGAGGGGAGGATGAACACTGCTGTGGGGCGGTGGGGGCTGCTGGTTACCTTAAGCTCTAGTAGGGTGTCGAGCTGGTGGTGAAGGCGGGAGTGGGAGAGAGGGAGGAGGAGAGAAACAGGGGGAAAGGATAGAGCAAGGAGAGCAAGGAAGGGTATATGAGCACTGCTGTGGAAGGATGACGGCTGCTGGTTGCCTTGAGCTCTAGTAGAGTGTCCAGCTGCTGGTGGGAGGGGGAGGGAGGAGAGGGAGGAGAGGGAGGAGAGGGGGAAGAGGGAGAAGAGGAGGAAAGAGGAGGAGAAGAAAGGGATGTAGGGATAACAAGAGCAAGGGGGGGAGGATGAGCACTGCTGTGGGGCAGTGAGGGCCGCTGGTGGGCTTGAGGAGCTGGAGTTGAGTGTGGCGCTAGTGACGAGGTGAATGACAGTTTTGTGGGAGAGTGGTAGGATGGTGCAAAACGAATTCAGGAGGGTTAGTGATGAGAGCAGGGAGAGAGTGATGAGAGCAGGGAGAGAGTGATGAGAGCAGGGACAGAGTGATGAGAGCAGGGACAGAGTGATGAGAGCAGGGAGAGAGTGATGAGAGCAGGGAGAGAGTGATGAGAGCAGGGACAGAGTGATGATAGCAGGGAGAGAGTGATGAGAGCAGGGAGAGGGTGATGAGAGCAGGGAGAGAGTGATGAGAGCAGGGAGAGAGTGATGAGAGCAGGGAGAGAGTGATGAGAGCAGGGAGAGAGTGATGAGCGAAGGGAGAGAGTGATGAGAGCAGGGCAGCTTGGCTTGGCATCCTATGTTTGAGACGTCTCAAAAGGGCGGCTTGGCTTGGCATCCTATGTTTGAGACGTCTCAAAAGGGCGGCTTGGCTTGGCATCCTATGTTTGAGACGTCTCAAAAGGGCGGCTTGGCTTGGCATCCTATGTTTGAGACGTCTCAAAAGGGCGGCTTGGCTTGGCATCCTATGTTTGAGACGTCTCAAAAGGGCGGCTTGGCTTGGCATCCTATGTTTGAGACGTCTCAAAAGGGCAGCTTGGCTTGGCATCCTATGTTTGAGACGTCTCAAAAGGGCAGCTTGGCTTGGCATCCTATGTTTGAGACGTCTCAAAAGGGCAGCTTGGCTTGGCATCCTATGTTTGAGACGTCTCAAAAGGGTAGGTTGGCTTGGCATCCTATGCTTGCGACGTCTCAAAAGGGCGGCTTGGCTTGGCATCGTATTTGTCCACACTGCATAGCTATTGCAACGAGGTGACCTTCTGAGCCGACTCAAAATCCAAGTCACCTCGTTGTGGGTTAAACAGGGCAGCTTGGCTTGGCATCCTATTTTTGAGACGACTCAAAAGGGCATCTTGGGTTGGCATTCTATTTGTCCACTCCCAACACACTTGCACATTGCACAGCTATTGCATGAGCACTGCATCATACCTCTTACATGCGCAAAGCAGCATAGCTCTTCCATGTGCGTGTGCACCATACTGTGCGTGACATACGTCTTGCTCGGAGAACTAATTTTGAGGCGCCTCAAAAGGCGCCTCAAAATACACCTCAATGTGCGTGCACCATACCGTGCATGACACACCGCATGTAGAGCATACCACTTGCTGGGAGAACTTGCGCTTTTTTAGAACTCTCAGAAGAACATACCTCTTGCTGAGAGAACTTGCGGTTTTTTAGAACTCTCAGAAGAACATACCTCTTGCTGGGAGAACTTGCGGTTTTTTAGAACTCTCAGAAAACCGTACCTCTTGCTGGGAGAACTTGCGGCGGTTGATAGGGATGACGTGCATGCACGTGGTGACGAACCATGCCTGGTGGGGCGGGAGGGATGAGGCAGGCAGATGGTTATGAGAGCGATGAGCCGTGCCTGGTGGTAACATGGGTGGGATGAGAGGTGGGAGAGATGGGGCAGACGGATGGTTGATGGGGATGACGTGCATGCATGTGGTGACGAACCATGCCTGGTGGGGTGGACAAACCATACAGGCGGACAATTGCCATCCCTACCAGAAGGGGGTTGCTGAAGAAGTAGTCCCGAGCACCCCCCTCAACCTCAACCTCCCGTTTCAGTAACAGGGAATAGACCGTCACCCAGGGAATAGACCGTCACCCAGGGAATAGACCGTCACCCAGGGAATAGACCGTCACCCAGGGAATAGACCGTCACCCAGGGAATAGACCGTCACCCAGGGAATAGACCGTCACCCAGGGAATAGACCGTCACCCAGGGAATAGACCGTCACCCAGGGAATAGACCGTCACCCAGGGAATAGACCGTCACCCAGGGAATAGACCGTCACCCAGGGAATAGACCGTCACCCAGGGAATAGACCGGCACCCAGGGAATAGACCGTCACCCAGGGAATAGACCGTCACCCAGGGAATAGACCGTCACCCAGGGAATAGACCGTCACCCAGGGAATAGACCGTCACCCAGGGAATAAACCGTCACCCAGGGAATAAACCGTCACCCAGGGAATAGACCGTCACCCAGGGAATAAACCGTCACCCAGGGAATAAACCGTCACCCAGGGAATAAACCGTCACCCAGGGAATAGACCGTCACCCAGGGAATAAACCATCACCCAGGGAATAAACCGTCAACCAGGGAATAGACCGTCACCCAGGGAATAGACCGTCACCCAGGGAATAAACCATCACCCAGGGAATAAACCATCACCCAGGGAATAAACCATCACCCAGGGAATAGACCATCACCCAGGGAATAGACCATCACCCAGGGAATAAACCATCACCCAGGGAAAAAACCGTCACCCAGGGAATAGACCATCACCCAGGGAATAAACCATCACCCAGGGAATAAACCATCACCCAGGGAATAAACCGTCACCCAGGGAATAGACCGGCACCCAGGGAATAGACCATCACCCAGGGAATAGTCCATCACCCAGGGAATAGACCGTCACCCAGGGAATAGACCGTCACCCAGGGAATAGACCATCACCCAGGGAATAGACCGTCACTTGCGTGCTTTGAGACGTCCCTGAACTCGATTACCAAGTGTGTATCAGTATCAGCGCCTGAACTACGTTCCCTACCAGAAGCAGGTTGCTGAAGAAGTAGTCCCGAGCACCCCCCTGAACCTCAACCTCCCGTTTCAGTAACAGGCAGAAAAAAGCAATCCCTACCAGAAGCGGGTTGCTGAAGAAGTAGTCCCGAGCACCCAGCGCATACACCCTCATCGCGCCTCCCATCCATCCATCCCCAAGCTGACTGAAATGATACTCTATAAATGCAGTGTCCGGCACGTTTCAGTAACAGGCAGAAAATTGCCATCCCTACCAGAAGCGGGTTGCTGAAGAAGTAGTCCCGAGCACCCAGCGCATACACCCGCTTGGCGCCGCCCGTCCATGCGCCCACGAATGTGGCCCCGCAGTCCAAGTGGCTCTGCCAAAACGTGAAAGAAGAGTGCTTTTGAGACGTCTCAAAAACCCACGAATGTGGCCCCGCTGTCCAAGTGGCTCTGCCAAAACGTGAAAGAAGAGTGCTTTTGAGACGTCTCAAAAACCCATGAATGTGGCCCCGCAATCCAAGTGGCTCTGCCAAAACAGAGGGAATGTTGTAATATGTTTGAAGTAGTGTTTTGTGACGTCTCAAAGCAATCCAAGTGGCTCTGCCAAAACAGACGGAAGGAATGTTGAAAGAAGCACCAGGAACAAGCAAGATGAGGGCCGTGTAACCCGCGTGTAATGAGTCGAGTTTCGAGTCGACTCAAGTTTCGAGTCGACTCAAAACTCGACCAGGAACAAGCAAGATGAGGGTAGTGTAACACACACAGGCGAAAAGAAGAAAAGAACATATGCAGTAAGATTTCCTCTCTTTTTTGAGAAACACGGTACAGTATTTAATGGCCTTCAGGGTGAGGTAAGAGCAGCATGGCACCCACCGAATGATTGCACGCCATGAAGAACATTCCACGATCCAATGGCAGATTCTCCGTGCCACGTGTCTCCTGCTCATTGGCACGTGCAACAAGGGAATGAGTCAGTAGTTATACCACTGCCCACACTTGCAAACCGCTAGCATAACACTCCCCCGAGCCATCCAGCCTCTTTCCTACAATCACACACAATATGATCCAATAGTCACACTCACCTGCACCACACGTTTCCTTTAATCACACGTACACCCAGTTGTGCAAGCCACCTTTTCCCTATGCTCCCTCACACGATGGAAAAAAAAAGCTTCCCCCTTATACCACTCTCACCTGAGCGAACCAGCTCTCATAGAGCCATTCCCCACACAGCCCAAACAACCGCTCCACACCCATCTTTCCGATGCTGTAACCGTCAACCACTAAGCCATCCTTATCCGCCAACGTAACCAGTGCTGGTAACCGGGTCGACCTTTTCTAACCTGCACGAACCAGCTCTCGTAGAGCCATCTCCCCCACAGCCAGAAAAGCCGCTCCACGGCCCCGGTGTAACCCCAAATTATCCCCATCCACCCCGATGTAACCCGTGCTGGTAACCGGGATCGACTTTCTCACCTGAGCGAACCAGCTCTCGTAGAGCCATCTCCCCCACAGCCAGAACAGCCGCTCCACAACCCCCTCCTTCCCAATGCTGTAACCCTCAACCACCAAGCCGTCCCCATCCGCCGACGTAACCCGTGCTGGTAACCGGGATCGACTCTTTCTCGCCTGGCGAATCAATCTCGCCTGTATTCGCCTCTGGAGGTTCCGACGGGAGCTTCTCCTCGTGCTTACGCTCCGGAATGAATCTCCACAGTCGCTAGGCTTTTCAAGGTCTCCAATTTCTAACTCCACAATCCTTTGAGGCGACTCAAGAGAGGAGCTTCTCCTCGTGCTTACGCTCCTTGAGGGATCTCCGGATTCGCCGGGCTTCTCAGTAAGCGTTCCAGTATCGGCAGTTTTTCCCGGCACGTCGCTCTTGAGAATGGCTATTCTGCTGGAACTCTCTTGCTCGCGTGATACGGTTGTGTCGGAGCTATCGCCTTGCGCGAGACGCTCTGAGTTTGCGATGGAGACGCCTGACGTTGACGGAAGCTGGTCGCGGACGTTGACGCTAACGGGAGAAAGCGCTCCGTTACAGTCAGGTTTGCTCGTTTGAGAATCGGAGACGGAATGCAGGCTTCGCGGGGGGTGTTTCTCGCGGGTGCGTGCTTCTGAAGAGCAGCCAATGTCAACCAACCGGGCATGCGTAAGCCTTGGTGGAATTCTAGCATCGCTTCTGTCAGATTTAGCTAAAATGCAGCTGCTCGAACCGCGTACCACAAAATGAGGAAGAGGAAGCGACGACATTGGGACCAAAAACGTGGAACTGGGGTATCCGGTTGTTAACTTATGGTTCGTAACGGGCCACACTCGGACAGGCTAATGCGACGAATGCAGAAAGCCTACGGTTTATTAACAGGGATGAAAGACACGAGCGGAATTGAGCTATGAATGTGCGAGGTAGTAAGCCATCATCAGCGAAGAAACTAGGTTTTTTAATCTCCAGTTCTAGACGTTTCACAATGGCCAAACAAATTCTCCATAACTGTTCTGTCTGGTTTTGTCTGGGTTATCCTCTCTCGTCTCTCTGACAATTCCCATCCCACCCTGCGCGGGGATCCCAAGAGCGAGCCCTCAGGGGAATGCTGGCAGCAAGTCGTTACAGTACAGAAAGCTGAGTTTTCAAGGAGGGGGGGAAAGCAGGAAGTCCGTCGCAGGCAGGCGCAAAACCCGTCGTAAGCAGCGGTCGTCGACCAGTGAGCGATGCTTGTGCGAGCAATGGAAGGGGCGAGCGCATCCTGATTGGTCAGTTGGTGTAAGATGTACGGCTTCGATGCACCTGAAGGCTTTCTTGGTGCAGGAAGCAATGAGATATCTTAGTGACATGCGCGACATGCCATGCTCAGCTGCAAATGTTAGTAATGTAAAAAAACTATCTCATATAAAAAGCTCAGGTGTAAGGAAAAACCCTTTTCCTTACTGGGGTTTACTCAACCGCGTACAACCCCAACTTTCGGAAGTGCACGTTCGGCCACTTTGCTTGCTGCCGAAGCAACCTCGCGTCGCCTTCGGCTTTCCTTTGCCCAACCAGCATCCAACCTCGTGTTCCCGAGGTTCCCGCCTAGCTAGGTTGTCTCGCTACATAATCACATGCCTTTTCATGGTACCGTCAATTCATTTAGTCACAAGCTTCTTTATTCGTTTTCCGCGCTACTCTGTTTGACAACTCATAACACCTGGTATCAGAGCTACTTTCCTAGTTCACCCCGCTTTTCCAGTGTAGTTTAGTGGCACGGGTGTGACTGGTGCAGTGGGCTGCAAAGCGGTTGGCTGCAAAGTTTATTTAATTAAACTTGCCCGACTCCGATAGCTTTTGTGCTTGCACTGTTGGCGGATAGTCACTGATACCCTGTTGCCTACTAGACGTAGCTTGTGACGTATGGATCAGGCGGCATTTAACGCGTTGATGCAGCAAGTGGCGGAGATGTCGGCAGACATGAAGGCGTTAACGACAGAGGTGGAGAGACTACAAGAAGAAAACAACGAGCTACGCCAGGCGCGAGGTGAAGCGCGCCAGGAGTCGCCCGCTGAAGAAGGCGAGAGCACTTGTCAAGCGGTGAGTGGCAATCCGTTGGACGAGCTCACACGAGGCTTCGAAGAAGAAGATAGGCAGCGAGCGGCGGCAGCGACAACAGTTGCAGTAACGACGATCAAGTTTAAACCCACAAGTCCGCCCCCGTTCAACCCTACGGACAAGAATACTACAGTCAAGGGGTGGCTCTTCGGCGTTGAAGTCTTCTTCACTGCAGCGAATGTCAACGACGATGCCACGCGTATTAATTACGCGGTATCGTTTCTGCGAGGCCCGGCGCTTGAGTGGTGGTGACGAACCTTCGACACGGGGACCCCGATAGGTGTGACACATGTGGCAGACGGGACTTCCGACTCTGCACATGGGAGGGCATCATCGATATTCGGTGTGGCCACAATTCGCACGTGGGAACGGTGGGGCGCATCCTTACGAGAGCGTTTCGAGCATGTATCCACCTCGGAACACGCTCGCATGAAGCTGCGTACCTGGTTGCAGTTGGCTTCTGTTCGAGACTACATGGCGTCGTTTATGGCGCTCGCGGACCAACTGGACGACATGGCGGAAGTAGAGCGGTTGGATAAATACATCAGCGACCTCAAGTACGAGATACAGTTTGAGGTGCGCCGAAACCGCCCGACTACATTCAACGAAGCCGTTCGATTGGCCGAGAGCATAGACGCGCTGATGCAGCGGGCGAGATCGAGTTCTCGGGAGGGAAACCGGTTTCGTGGACAGACCCAGCGGGCCACGATTAACGGAGTCCATGCACCAGACCGCCCTTTTACGGGGTTGTGTTTTAAGTGCGGGAAGCCGGGCCACATGTATAAAGACTGCCCCGACAGGACGCAGGGAAAGAGGAACGACCGGAAGGAGTCGGGAAACGGGAAGAGTCAGTATCAGACGGGCCCCTTACTGACTGTGCTCTGTCGCCCGAACCCCACCATCCCCACCGAGTCTTGGTTCCGATTCATACCATTGATCGCACTCGGACGAATAACGAGGGTGAACATGTGGATCACCCTGTGCTGGTTGTTGGCACGGTGTTGAAGAAAAAAATAAAAATGTTCGTCGATGGCGGGGCTAGCCATAGCCTCTTCAACTTGGCGACAGCAAAAAAATGCAAGTTGCAGCTGGACAGGTGTCTGCCCGAAATTGACGCTCGCCTCGTGGATGGGACGCCTCTGGTGATTTTGGAGGAAACATGGACGGTGCGGATTAAGTGCGGCGACAATTTCGGCTTCAGCATGAAGTTTCTCACGACGACGTTGGACGGATGCGACGTGCTCCTGGGACGCGATTGGCTGCAACGGCACAACCCAATCATCGATTGGACGACGGGATCGTGCAGCATCAGCAAGCACGAGGGGCTGATTACTCTGCCCGCGCCCGGACTGCATCGAGTCTGCATGCGTCAAAGCCATCACTCTTACACGCCACGTCAACAGGGGTGCGCAGCTGTTCGCCGTATGTTTGCGCGAGTTGGCAACCGACACAGACGGAGAAGACATCGAGAAGCTATGCGCAGCTGTACCGCCTGATTTGGCGGAGCTGATTCGACAATTCCCCGACATTTTCCCGGATGACCTGCCACCTGAACGACGCGAAGACCACAGAATCACCCTCGAACCCGGTGCGCAACCGACTATTCGTACACAGTGGCGTCTGACTCAGCCCGAACTCGCGGAGCTTCGAAGTCAACTTGAGTCACTGTTGGAGAAGGGCTTCATCCGACCCCGTACTTCACCCTTCGCCGCGCCGATCCTGCTCACACCAAAGAAGGACGGCGGCATTCGCATGTGCATCGACTACCGCGCGCTCAACCGGGCTACCATAAAATCTTGCTATCCCATCCCACGCACCGACGACCTCCTCGACCAACTTCGCGGCGCTCGCTACTTTTCGAAGATTGACCTACGCAGCGGTTACCACCAGATTAGAGTCTTCGCTGACGACTGTCACAAGACCGCCTTCCGAATCTGCTACGGCAGCTACGAGTTCACCGTGATGCCTTTCGGCCTCAAGAATGCGCCATCGACATTCCAACGCACCATGAACAGGGTATTTCGCGCCTGGTGGACAAGTGTGTTATCGTCTACTTGGACGATTTTCTGATTTTTAGCAGGACAGGCGAGCAGCACCTCCGGGACCTCGGCGCAGTGTTTAAGCGGCTGCAGGACAACCGACTCATCACCAAGGGCTCGAAGTGCGAGTTTTTTAAGCAGGAGTTGGAGTTTTTGGGGCACGTCTTCTCACGCGACGGCATCAAAATCGACCCGAAGAAAATCACAACAATCCAGGAGTGGAAGGCCCCGACTAATGTCACGGAACTTCAGAGTTTCCTGGGGTTTGTGAATTATGTTCGACGGTTTATCCCGAATATGGCAGGGATAACCGGCCCGCTGACCGACCTACTACATAAGGACAGGAACTTCGTGTGGGGGGAGGAGGCTGAGGCGGCTTTTCATGAGTTGAAGCAATTACTGGTGTCCCCTCCGGTTCTTCGCATCGCCGATCCATCCAAGCCATTCAAAGTTGTCACCGACGCCTTAGATTTCGCCATCGGTGCAGTGCTGCTCCAGGATTTTGGCAACAGCTTACAACCGATCGCCTACGAGTCGCGCAAGTTACAGGTAGCTGAGCGCAACTACCCGATTCACGACAAGGAGATGCTCGCCATCATCCATGCATTTAAACTGTGGTGCTGCTACCTGACAGGCGCCGACGTCACTGTACGAACGGACCACAAATCGTTACAGTACCTTTGCGCGCAGCCCAACCTCAACCCGCGACAAATCCGGTGGCTCGACTACATGGAGTCACATTTCCACTACAGGATTACATACAAGAAGGGGGCGAATAACATCGCCGACGCCTTGACCCGACGAACAGTCCAATCCGCTGCTATACTGATCACCCATTCGAACCCGCTTCTTTCGGGGCTATTCACCCACGGCTACAAAACGGACCCGTTTTTCACGACAGGCAATCACCTACAAGCGACGACACAGAGGGAAAATTATTACCTAAAAGCCGGAACGGACCGGATTTGGGTACCCGCTTACCGCCTGCTACGGGAATTGCTTATCCAGGAGCTCCACGATTCGAACCTCTCTGGACATTTCGGAGTTGACAAGAGGCAGAAAATTCTGCACCATCAGTACTATTGGCCTGATTCTAACTCTGACGTGCAGCGTTATGTGTCTTCATCCAGAGTGTGCCAGGCAATGAAATCGATACGTCAGCGCCCGGCCGGCCTGCTGCAACCCCTCGAGCCACCCGAGCAACCATGGCAACAGGTGACAATGGATTTTGTCACGGGGCTACCAGCTGGCGCGACCGGCAACGATGCAGTACTCGTCGTCGTCGATCGCCTCACGAAAATGGCGCACTTCGCACCGTGTGGCACAACAATCACAGCCGAAGAAACTGCGCGCCTCTTCATCTCGACAGTTGTTCGCTTGCACGGCATCCCGTCCGCGATCATAATCGACAGGGATCCGAAGTTTACATCGAAATTCTGGAAAGAGAAGTGGGCGCAGTACGGCACAAGGCTACAATTCTCGTTGGCCTACCACCCGCAAACCGACGGACAGACCGAGCGCACCAATCAGACCACGGAGCAGCTCATCTGCACGAACTGCCCCGACCCTGCTCGTTGGGAAGATTCGCTCCCGATGCTGGAATTTGCGTACAACAACGCCCCGTCCAGCACGACCAACCATTCCCCGTTTTTCCTCAATTACGGGATGGATCCGGTGGTACCCACAGCAACGACTCCTGAAAACCCGGTACCACGCTCGCAACACTTTGTGACGGAACTCCAAACCATCCGCAAGAAAGCCGTCGAAGCCATTAGAAAAGCTAACACAACTGCCCGAAAATACTCGGACTTGCTACGTCGGGAAATCACGCTGGCAGCAGGGCAACTAGTGCTTCTCGACACCAAGAACCTCCGTCTGCCTGACTCTTCAAAGCTTCGCCCGCGTTTCTGCGGACCTTTCCGCACTGTGAAAATAATCACACCCGTCAGGGCGAAACTCATCCTGCCCGACGATTGGCGCATCCACGACGCATTCCCCGTCAGCCTCCTGAAGCCGTTTGTACCAGCACAGACAGACATTGTGCGTCAGAATGCCGCCCCAACAGCTCGCCCGGTCTCGGAACCGACGCTTGACCCGTCGGAAATTCTGGCACATCGTGTTCGACTTGACGCAGCAAGGCACCACGCGGATTTCCTGATTCGTTGGATTGACCGCACCAGCGAGGACGACACTTGGGTGTCATCCGCCTCGCTTGACACCTTTCCGCTACTACGGGATTACCTCGCCCGGAAGCGTGTCGCGGATGTTGACCACCTTTCTTAAAGGGGGGGGGTAGTGTAAGGAAAAACCCTTTTCCTTACTGGGGTTTACTCAACGGCGTACAACCCCAACTTTCGGAAGTGCACGTTCGGCCACTTTGCTTGCTGCCGAAGCAACCTTGTGTCGCCTTCGGCTTTCCTTTGCCCAACCTGCATCCAACCTCGTGTTCCCGAGGTTCCCGCCTAGCTAGGTTGTCTCGCTATATAATCACATGCCTTCTCATTGTATCGTCAATTCATTTAGTCACAAGCTTCGTTGTTCGTTTTCCACGCTACTCTGTTTGACAACTCATAACATCAGGAGATCAGAATGAGTTGTTTTAGACTACACTATATCAGATAGAAGGTCCATCAACCAATCTGAAAACGCAAACCAAATCTTTCATGCACAGGTTTGCACTAGCACCTGCAACTTGCACATTCTGAGAAATTCCACCTTTGAATCAAACCCAACCCTTAACCTCCACAGCTAAGGACTTCGATTTCCGACTCACTGAAGTGGTCGCCATTGTTTCTCCCTCCACATCCACTGGGTTCCTTAACCCGAAACCCAGCTACAGGCTCTACTGTTTGTCCTGCATTTGAAGACACAAACTTTTTCCAGCTGCTGCTGCACCCGTCCCTCCCCACTGGTGTCTCAGCAATCCATAGCAGCATCCACCTAAGCGCCTGTTAGATCTCCCAGACATCTCCCACCTAAGCGCCTGCTTCATCAGCCCCTGCAACAGCTGCAGCCTCAACATTGATTCCGCCACTCCCTCTCCCACAAACGCAGTCTCAGCTTCATTCAGCCCCTCCCCACTACAGCTGATGCTTCACCTTCATTCAGCAACTCGCTCTGCTACAGCTGCACTCTCAGCCTGTGGTGACCCAGCCTCTGGGAGCTCAACAGCTGCCAGCTCAGCCTCTGCTGCTGCAGGTACCCCCTCTGCTACAGCTGCAGCCTCAGCTTCATTCAGCCACTCCCTCTGCTACAGCTGCCGTCTCAGCCTGTGGCAGCCCAGCCTCTGCAAACTCAACAGCCGCCGGCTCAGCCTCTGCTGCTGCAGGTACTCCCTCTGCTACAGCTGCAGGCTCAGCCCCAGCAGCAGTTCCAGTGATATCCTCTGCTGCTACTTCTGCTGCAGCCGCAGCCTCTGCTAAAGGTGCCTCGGTTCCCGCCCCTGTCACTGCTGCTCCTGCTTCCTCTGCTTTGGTTGCCTCCGCTCCACCCTGCACTGCTGCCTCTGCTACAGTAGCTGTTGCCTCCTCTACTACAGTTGTTGCCTCCTCTGCTGCAGCTGCTGCTTCTGCCTCCTCTGCTACAGGTGCTGTTGCTGCTTCCTCTGCTACAGCCGCTGCTGCTGCTGCCTCCTCCGCCACAGCTGTTGCTGCTGCCTCCTCTGCCGCAATCCATGGCTCATCAGTTGCCCCTGCCACTGTCCCTTCCGCTACCCCTGCTGCTACTTCTGCCTCTGCTGCCACTTGTTCTGCCTCAGCTGCTGGTTGCCCCTCTCCTTGGCCCCCTCCCCCCTCCCTAAGCCCCTGCCCTTCCCCTTCCACCTCACCGGCCTTTCCTTCCCCGCCCTCTGTTCCAGTCGCCACAATCACAGCCTCATCCATCCCCATCTCCTCCATCCTTTGAGGCGCCTCAGCAGGCACCTGAACAGACACCTGATCAGGCACCTGAACTGGCACCTCAGAAGTTGTTCCAGTGGCCACAACCACAGTCGCCTCATCCATACCCATCTCCTCCATCACTGCATTCGCCACCTCAATCTGCGACGCGGTTACCTCAAATTGCGACACGGTTACGTCAATCTGTGACTCTGTTACCTCCATATGAGCAGCATCAATTTGTGACTCTGTCACCTCCATATGAGCTGCTTCATTATGTGATAATACTGTCCCATCCATATCAGTTGCCTGCTGATTATGTGACTCCATCCCCTCCATGCGTGTTGCCTCAAAAGCCATGTCTATTTGTGATGCAGTTAGTTCCATCTGTGAAGCCGTTACCTCCATCTGAGACACTGTCAGTTCCTCCTGAGGTGTTGTTTCCACCTGAGGTGCTGTTGTTTCCACCTGAGGCACTGTTGTATCCACCTGGGGTGCTGCTGCTTCCGCCTGAGGCGCTGCTGTTTCCGCCTGAGGCACAGTTGCTTCCACCTGAGGCGCTGTTGTTTCCACCTGAGCTGCTGCTATTTCTGCCTGAGGCGCTGCTGTTTCCACCTGAGGCGCTGCTGCTTCAGTCACGCCTAACGCCCCTCCCAAACCTGCCCTTGGCTCTTGAGTCTCTATTACAGCAACCACCTTCTCCCCTACCTTATCCCCCTCTTCAATCGCCTCTTCCTCCTCCTCCATGTCCTCCTCTGGCATGTAGTTATCCTCTCCTATCACCAAGATGCTCTCCACGCCCTTCCACACCAGCACTTCTAGAAGTGAGTGCTCCATGCCTTCATACTCCACCTGCGAGCATGTGGGGAAAAGGGGAGCATCAGCAAAGTTATCCTCTCCTATCACCAAGATGCTCTCCACGCCCTTCCACACCAAGACCTCCAGCAAAGAGTGCTCCGTGCCTTCATACTCCACCTGCGGGCGTGTGGGGAAAAGGGAAACATCAGCAATCACCTTATCCTCCTCAAGCGCCTCCTCTCTTCCTCCTCCATGTCCTCCTCTGGCATGTAGTTATCCTCTCCAACCACCAAGATGCTCTCCACGCCCTTCCACACCAGCACTTCTAGAAGTGAGTGCTCCGTGCCCTCATATTCCACCTGAAATAGGGGAAACACACAGCACTGTTTGTAGGTAATTCTCTACCCTCACCACCAAGATGCTCTCCACGCTCTTCCACACCAGCACTTCTAAAAGTGAGTGCTCCGTGCCCTCATATTCCACCTGAAATAGGGGAAACACACAGCACTGTTTGTAGGTAATTCTCTACCCTCACCACCAAGATGCTCTCCACGCTCTTCCACAACAGCACTTCTAAAAGTGAGTGCTCCGTGCCCTCATATTCCACCTGAAATAGGGGAAACACACAGCACTGTTTGTAGGTAATTCTCTACCTCCACCACCACAACTCTCCACGCCTTTACACACCAGCACTTCCAGAAGAGAGTGCCCCGTGCCCTCATATTCCACCTGATGTAGGAGAAAGCAACAAAGTGAGAGTTGATCTCTCCTTCCCCACCACCAGAATGCTCTCCACGCCCTTTCACACCAGCACTTCCAATAAAGAGAGCTCTGTGCCCTTGTATTCCACCTGCGGGCGTGTGGGGGAAAAGGAGAACATCAACAATCGATTTATACTCCTCCTCCTCCTCCTCCTCCTCCTCCTCCTCCTCCTCCTCCTCCTCCTCCTCCTCCTCCTCCTCCTCCTCCTCCTCCTCCTCCTCCTCCTCCTCCTCCTCCTCACTGGTGTTGCCTCCTCCTCCTCACTGGTTTTGCCTCCTCCTCCTCCTCACTGGTGTTGCCTCCTCCTCCTCCTCCTCCTCCTCCTCCTCCTCCTCCTCCTCCTCCTCCTCCTCCTCCTCCTCCTCACTGGTGTTGCCTCCTCCTCCTCACTGGTTTTGCCTCCTCCTCCTCCTCACTGGTGTTGCCTCCTCCTCCTCCTCCTCCTCCTCCTCCTCCTCCTCCTCCTCCTCCTCCTCCTCCTCCTCCTCCTCCTCCTCCTCCTCCTCCTCCTCCTCCTCCTCCTCCTCCTCCTCCTCCTCACTGGTGTTGCCTCCTCCTCCTCACTGGTTTTGCCTCCTCCTCCTCCTCCTCCTCCTCCTCCTCCTCCTCCTCCTCCTCCTCCTCCTCCTCCTCCTCCTCCTCCTCCTCCTCCTCCTCCTCCTCCTCCTCCTCCTCCTCCTCCTCCTCCTCCATGTCCTCCTGGTATGTAATTATCCTCCCCCACCACCAGAATGCTCTCCACGCCCTTCCGCACCAGCATTTCCAATAGAGAGGGCGCTGAGGCAAGACATGTCCATGCCGGTGCTTCGCTTTATTCATCCCACCTTCAGTAAGCACTCCCTCGAAGTCCTTCAGCGCGCTCTTCCCCGCCACATAGTTACTCACAATGTTAGTATGTGTTGCTGATGCATGCGTGATGAGGCCACATGTGCAAACAATCTTCCTGTGCATTGTATGCACATGTGGCCTCATCACGCATGCATCAGTCACGCATGCCTGGACCGACCACGTATGCATCAATCCATTCCCCAGCCTTCACTTCACTGCATGCACGCACTGTGTATTTCGTGGTGTCTTCATCAAAAGCGGTGATCTTCCCTTCAGTCAGCACTCCCTCAAACCCCTTCAGCACGCTCTTCACCCCTGCATGCGCCCCCCCTAAAACCTAAAGCCCTCAATGCATGATCCCAAAACTTACAGTGTATTTCTTGGTATCTTCATCGAAAGCGGTGATCTTCCCTTCAGTCAGCACTCCTTCAAAATCCTTTAGCACGCTCTTCCCCACCACCTTCGCGCCCGGCCCTGGCACAACCGCTTCTGCCACACCATTACCCCTCCCCAGCGCCCCATGTGCGCCCATCATCCACCCCTCCCCTCCGCCCATCATACCACCACCACCCCAGTCGCCCTCGCCCAACCAATCAGCATCATCTCCAGGGTAACTCCCGTTTCCAGTCCCGAAATAGCCCTCGGTATACGCCCAAGCACCGCCCATCGCACTCCTCCCTCGTCCTCGCCCTCTTCCCCTCCCTCTTCCTCTTCCTCTCCCCCTCCCCCTCCCTCTCCCCCTCCCTCTTCCCCTCCCTCTCCCTCTCCCTCTCCTCCCTCCACTTCCCCATACGCCCATCTGATCATCCCAATACACTCCTCCTGGACTATAATCCTCGTCTTCCCCTCCTCTTCCTCGCCCTCTCCCTCCCCCTCTCCCTCTTCCTCCCCCTGCTGGTGCTGCTGAAGCGCCTTGATACGGCTCCACATCCACCCCTAGGTAATCCCCGTCGGCTGCCCCCCCAAAATCCCCCATATGATGAGCCCTGATACTGGAACCATCATACAGCCCAGTAGCACCCACCCCAGTAGTACCTACCCCAGTTCCCCCCTTTCCCCGCTTGCTGTGAGGCAGAATTTCCTCTTCTCCCCCACGCACCACAGATTCCGGATATAAAATTATATCTTCTCCTGCCTCTCGCACACGCTTTCCCAGTGCTTTCAGTGCAGTCTGGGGCTGCTCAGGCGTAGAAACAGCGGCAGGAACAGCAGCAGCAGCAACAGGAGGAGGAGGAACAGCAGCAGGAACGGCAGAAACCGGCTTAGCAGCAGAAGCAGGATCAGGGGCAGCAACAGACGGTTTGGCAGCAGGAGCAGGAGCAGGTGTTGCAACAGCTGCTGCAGTTGCGGCAGGAGGAGCACGAGCAGCAGCATCTGGTACAGAGGCGGGAGGAGCCGCAGCAGCAGCAGCAGCCAGATCCGCAGCAGGATCCGCAGCAGCAGCAGCAGTGCTGTCTGGGATCTTCCGCGGTCTGCCCCTGCCCCTCGCTGCTCCGCCCCTGCCTCCTCCCCCCCTGCTTGGGGTTGCCCCCTCCGCAGCTACCTCTATGCGTTCATCCATCAACGTTGCCTTGTTGGCCTCGGACCTGGGTGGGATGTGGGGGAGGGGAGAGTGAAAGCACAGGCAATGTCAGCACGAACAGTAACGCCAGGCGGTCCCTCCACCTCCATGGCAACCTCCGTGCGTTCATTGATCAGCGTCGCCTTGTTGTTCTCGAGCTTGTTTTAAAGGCGGAGATCAGGAGGAGGGAAGGAGCGGAGAGGGGGAGGAGGGAAGGAAATGCAGAAACACCAGCAGCGCAAAAGCACCACTTGGACCCAGAGACAACAGCATGCGTTGAGTCCTGCAAGGCTACCTCAATCCGTTGATCCAGCAACATGGCTTTGTTGACTCGGACAGAGACGATAGAGCAACATGGTTCTGTTGGCTTCGGGCCCAAAAAGAGAGAGCCAAACGCAAACTCAATGTCAGCTGAGAGTAAACTAACAACATCCGGCCTCCCAATTCCCCAGCCTCCCTTCCCCCCTAATCTTCATCTGCAAGCTACACTCGTTTTCTGCAAGCTACACTCGTTTTCCAGCCCTATCCTTGTGCGCTTAACTCAACTCATTCTCCCCCTCCTTCCCCCATCACCCCCTTCAACTCTCCCCACAATAGCAGCGAACCATCATTCTACTCTAATGACAGGTGTAATTAAGCACATCGCTTTTTCCATACAGAGACAAATATTCCTAGAATTACAACGTTTTGTGAAACAGTTCTTACAGCCCGAACCCACTCACCAGGTCTCGATGTCCGCGTTAACAGCCTTTTCTTCTTCCTCCGATAACAGCAACTGCTCCAGCTCAGACACCTCCAGATCCTCTGCATCACCGTCCTCATATCGAACCTGCCAGAACCGCGAACACGGACACAGAGAGCCACGCAAACCCCTCATTTAGTGACTCTCCAGCTTTGCATCTTCCGGTAAAAGAACGTGACGGGCAAAATCGCACGCGAACCGTGCAAACACGAGCGACCTTAAGACGACAGGTGTGGGAAAATATGTGATTTTGATACCTAAAAGCAGTACAAATAAAACTCTCACCTTGTACCAATTCTCGTCGCGGTCGTAATGAAACACTCTCCCAAGGTACGGCACGCCGCCGAAGCTCTTCCGAACGAGACGGCCCAATAACACAGCACCAGCAGGAGGAGGAGCATCCTTATTCCCTTGTATCATCGAAGCACCACCTCCGGCAAGCGACGCACCACCTCCAGCAACCGGCGCACTGCCATCTACATCCATGATATCCACGTCCCCTTCTTCCCCATCCTTTTCGCCCTCCCCGTCATCCACGCCCTGTGTAGCGGCTGGTGGGACAGATGTAGCGGCCGGTTCGACAGTTGCAGCGGATGGTTCAATGTCTACAGCCCATGGATCGTCAGCGACTGCAGCGTCGACCTCAGCCTGAGGCTCAATATCACCCGCCTTATCGGGGTTTAAGTTGTCGTCAGCTTTATCCGCAACAGCAGCCGCATCGGTCTTTGGCGGGGCATCCGCTTTAACAGCAGCCGTATCGGTGTTATTTCCGGCATCGGTCTTCTCTCCGGTACTAACAGCGTCTTGCTCTACTAGGCCAGCTAGAGTACTAGCATCGACCTTAGCATCACCGCCAGACTTAGTTTCATTGCCAGCACCAGAGTTAGTTTCGCCGCCAACTGCAACTTCAGATTCGGTTTTAGCGTCTGGCTCAGCCATTTTCGCGGGAACAGTTGTAGCGTCAGTCCCTGCTACAGTTATTGCTGCAGCAGCTGCTGCAGTCGTGGCTTCAGGAGGAGCATCAGTGACAGAGGGAACTGCTTCAGGAACAGGCGCAAACGTGGAAGCGTTTTGCTGCTGCGTCGATGCGTTCACAAGCGGGCTTTCCGCAACTGATGGGGGTTCGGAAATACCTATAGTGCTGTTGTCCATTGCGACTAGACTGTAGGTATTATCTAGGCACCAATACGAAATTAGCGGTGGTGGTTCAACTCACTACACCACAGAAAATCCTAATGTTCGACAGGACTTGCGATGTGGACTTCGCTATGGCTGCTTCGTGCTGACGAAGCCGCGCTCCCGTTAACGATCCCGTCCCGTCCCGTGACCACGCGTAGTTATGCCTTCAACAGAAGCTGGGAACGCAAACAACTCCCTTCGTTCGGTACGGTAATCACGAAGTGCTTGCTGGGCTCGGGGCGCACAAGCAAGTAGGGTGGTGGAGAACGAAGGAACAATCGAGGAGGGCTCGAGAAAAAGGCCTGATGATTGGGAAATGCTTAGAATAGGGATCGTCACTATCGACGAATCAGCGTGTAAAACGGAAATTTTCAACGCCTTGGATCTCGAAGAATCCTCTGCTTGTTTCAAATATTCGAACTGCACAGCAGCTGACGTTAGGTTGCGAGCTTTAGGCTGAGGTAACAGTGAAGAGAAACACCAAATTGTAGCTGACATCAACATATTATCATTTTTTAACTAATCATAGACTCAAATCGCCACCCGATAAAATGAACAAAACCAACCCAAAGAGTAGCCTCGTAAAAATGATACCCCCCGACACGTCCCATAAAATCTCCCCGAAAATAACCCTCAAGCGCCCCTCAAACCGGAGGAGACACCAAATACTAAGCCTCCACCCACAGGGCTTCCCCACTTCCTCAGTGTCCTCCCTCTTGTTGAAGTTAGGAGCTTAGGATATTAGGAGATTTGGAGCTAAGGGGAGCATGGCGATGGTATCGAGAGGGTTGAGAAGGAGATTGGCCAAAGAGGTTCAATATTAGGAAAGCATACAAACATATAGGCAAGGAGAAGGCCACATGGTACACCACCTACAGCAAATGAGATACACTACAGTCTACACTGCAGACAGTTATAAAGAATGTATACAAATATATTCTAACACCTCTCCCTAATCACCATGTCAATGTCATCTCCTCCCATAGACGACGCAGCGCGAAGCAGGATGACCTAAGCCTGATGTCAGAAACGGAAATGATGTGTGTAATACGTTAAGTTGGGGTACATATACCTAACCCTAACAACTGTACCCCACATGACAAGCCTCACTACAGGCTACAACATTTGACAGATCCCTATAGACTAAGTGAGGGGTGTCATGCAACAACCAAACCGTACGGTCTCAAGACCAGTCACAAAGAGACAAAGCCTAGGGTGGATCACAACGTCACCACACAGTCCGAACACAAGCAAGAGGCCACAAGGGCAGTCCAAGAGTTCACGGAGGTATATTAAAGAGTACAAACGAAGCAAGCAGACAACATAAGTCTACACAAGTCGAGAACATGTGTCAACGAAACCTAACTGCACACAAAATTTGTGGTGGTCACAAGGCGGAAGGGCCTTGGTGAAGATGTCTACAGTGTTGGCCTCGGAGCCCACGAAGTCCAAACGAGCCTGTCCACGCCTCTTTAACTCTCGAAAAATAAAGTACCTGACGCTGATGTGCTTCATTCTGCTCTCCAGTCGAGGCTCTCGAGACAGGAGAATCAACGTCTTGTTGTCTGTAAACAAGGTCGGTGCAGAGGTCGGCCGCTCACCAAGGTCAGTGAGCAAGAAGGTCAACCAACGCAGCTCCTGTGCAGCCATGGCTCCAGCGTAAACCTCGGCCTCAGCAGTAGAGGTCGAGACAAAGGAGGAACGAGTAGACCTCCACGACATAGCTTCAGAGCCTAGACTGAAACTGTACCCCTGCGTGGACCTGTAAGTCTCGGCGTCGTCGGCGTAAGAGGAGTCACAATGGCCAGTGAGCACGACAGGCTATCTCCCTCCAAGCACCAGCCCCACGCCTGATGTCGTCGCTAGGTACTTCGCCACCCTCACAGCAGCTGTCCTGTGAATAGGGCGGTGTCTCTCTAGCGCAACAAAACGGGCAAGGATGCTGAGAGGGAAGGTGAGGTCCGGGCGAGTACAAGCCATCAAGTACATGAGGAAGCCCACAAGCTCTGGGTAACGACCACTAGGCTCAAACGGCTTGTCAGGGAAGGTTCCAGCGAGTCCGTGGTCAACAGCAAGAGGAGTAGGCTGTGTAGTGGAGAACTGAAACCCGAACCGCTGAAGGACCTGCTGCACCATGTGTGACTAGGTCAAAGTGATGGTGCGAGATGCTCTGTCACTGGTGATCTGCAGGCCAAGGTAGTGGCGCAGCTCACCAAGGTCAGTGCACGTGTGTCTCTTCTGCAGTTCGGACTTCACGTCCGCCAAAGCAACCGTGTCAGTAGTGGCGAATACCTGGTCGTCGACGTAGACCAGTACAAAGAAAGGTGTGGAGCCGTGACGAACAAACAGCAACGGGTCGGCAGAGGACGGTCGGAAACTGAGGTCAGACAGGGTAGAGCGAAGAGTGTCGTGCCACTCATGAGGCGCGTAACGGAGACTGTAGACCGGTCGTCTGAGCCTCCATTGGATCCCAGGAGGGAAAGTGCCAGTAAAGGCAGAGGGACGACGCAGCCAGACCTCCTCGTGTAGGCTACTCTGAAAGAAGACGTTGGAGAAGTCGAGAGAGTGTAACTCGTAGTCTCTCTGTGCTGCCACGTGAAGTAACACCCGAAGAGTGGTCATCTTCGGGGTAGGTGCGAAGGTCTGAAAGAAGTCAACTCCCTCGCGCTGACTCAAACCTCTAGCCACATAACGCGCCTTGAAGACCGGAGGAGATCCCGGTGGCCACTTCACCTTGAAGATCCACATACCATCGACTACATTCGCCCTCGGAGGGGAAGCCTCGTCGACGTAGGTGCTTGTGGATCTGTAGGAGGCCATCTTTGCGTCCATGGCAGCTCTCTACTAAGAGGCCCAAGGCCCTGACACTGCCTCAGCGTAAGTGCGAGGAGTCGGTATATAAAGAGCATCGGGGTCTTTCTAGGGAGCGAGCAGCATGGCACAGAGATGAGGCAAATCGGCTGCCCAAAACTCTAGCTCAAGCTACCTATCCTCTAGAGCGTCACAGCCAAGGGCAGACCCACCCTCGACAGGCAGAGGACTAGTAGGAGCAGCCACAACATGAATAGTGTAGTCAAGGTGGCGAGTAGCGGCGAACTCAGAGACAGTGGCAGTAAGGGCTGAGACAGAGGAAGGAGAGGCACGAGGGTCCGTAACAAGAGAGACGAGAACACGAGAGAGAACAGGACGGTACGTGCAGTAGTAGTCAGTGACAGGAAAAGAGAGTGAAGCAGTAAGGGCCGACTCAGGGGGAGAAGGAAACATAGAGGGAGACGGACGAGGGGAGCTAGAACGAAACAGTACGGTACGAAGGTCAGTGACGGGAGCAGGGGATGAGGGAGGAGCACGAGGAGAGCGAAAAGCCCAAGTGTGAGAAAGAGGAGGGGACAACGGAGGCTGAGAACGGGGGAAAACAATCGGGGTGGGGTCAGGAGGAGGAAACGTGGGACCGTAGACAGGATGAGAGGGGGAGGAGGGAGGAGAAGGGGTGGGGAGACGAAGGGCCCAAAGGCCAGAGACAGGAGGCGGAGGCAGCCACTGCTGCTGCTGCGGCTGCTGCTCCTGCTGCGGCGGCTGCTGCTGCTGTAGCTCCAGCTGCTGCCGCTCCAACGCTAGCCTCTCTCGCTCCAACTCCAGCTGCTCCTCACGTGCATGGCGAAGAAGGGCCTGGTGCCGGGTCGGGTAGGGGTGGGGGGGAGGAGTAGTGTCCAGGGCAATGGTAGCCCCAGGACCGCTCTCCAAAGCACCAGTCGCACCACCCCCAGAGCCAGCAGCGCTACCAGCAACGCGGCCAGTCCCAAGCTCTCCAGGTCCAGCAGAGGACGTACCCGCATCCCCAGTCGTAGCACCCCCAATGACAGCTTGACGAACACCAGCTCCTCGAAGACTAGAACCTACTGCAGACACGGGCTCAGCTCCAACTCCAGCACCCCCAACACCAGAATCTCGTGTAGGCACACTCTCAGCTCCAACTCCAACACCTCCAGAGGCAGCACCTCCAGGGTCCGTACTGCAAACACCAGCACCGTCAGGGTCTACAACAGCCTATTGAGGAAGTGCTGACGGCTGCTGCGGTGACTGTGAGGAGGACTGCGGAGAAGGGGACGGGACCTGAGCTGCTACTTGGGGGGGGGGGGGGGGGGGGGGTAGCATGTAACACACCTGACAGGGCTGGACCAGGGGGGGGGGGGGCTATACCGGAGGAGCGGGAGGGGGAGTGGGAGTCAGGAAGAGAGGGGGAGGAGGAACGGGGAGACCTCGACAGGGGTACCGGGTGTAATAGGGGACTGACTCTTCAAAGCTGGCGTTACGGGAGTCAAGGAACCGGTGAAGGGGAGGGTGGTAGAAGGTGAAGTCAGAGGAGTCCTCTGGGAAACCAAGGAAGACACAAGGAATGGCGGAGGTAAGATCTTGTCTATAGAGGTGTCGCGAACGCGAGCCAAGCAGCCCAAGACACGAAAACGAGACGCAACACCAGGGGACCCGGTCCAAAGACTGGTCGGTGAAACCCCTGGCCGGGAGACACGTGGCCAAAAGTTCAGCTGGTGAGCGGCGTACCGAACCGCGTAGGGCCACAGAAAATGGGGTGCATGAGCGTGGATCATGGATGTGCGTGCAATCTCCATGACCAAGCCTATGCGGCGCTTAGCAACCCCATTCTGCTGTGGGGACTCTGTAAGCGTCCAAGACTGGAGGATGCCCTAATCGCGACAGAATCTGACAAGGACGCCAGAGCGAAACTCACCCCCACGGTCGGAGTG